CCATTTATCCTGAGTTTTCAAATTTTTGTGGTAAATGGGGACAGCTTGTCATTATTAACCAAATTAACAAAAATCAAAAATTCAAGTGAATTTCTGTTATATGGAAATCATAAGAAATAAGAAAAAAATTTTGTCTGATTTTTAAGTCTCGTTTTTTTCCAAATGCGAGACAAAATACTGAAATAAAATACAAAAACCAATCAAATTTAATCAATTTTTAAGTTCGTCCCCCATATTACAAATTTTTTCAACTTTCTTCATCCCTTAATATAGTCATATACTTAAGGGGTTACACCACTTTGACTCGCCCAGAAAATAAGCTTTTTCAACAATTTTTATTGAAGAATAGAAATTTTTTTAAGAAAATTAAAATACAGTACTCTCTAAATCTGAATCAGTAGAAATTTTACTAATGCAATCAGTACTTTTCATTTTGACTGAAGTTTCAGTTATTTTTTGAAATTTACTAATATAATTAGTGAATATGCAAGCAATAGAAAAGAACTTATGTACACCGAAAAAAAAATCCTCTTGTTTCAAGAGGATTCCTCTTATTTCAATGCATATTTTCCTCTAGTATATGCTGCAAAAGGATGTCCTCTAGGTTTAAGAGAATTCTCCTCTATGTAAAATTATTCCTCTTAATTTAAGAGGATACTCTTATTTTAAGAGGAAAATATCATCTTAAAAAGAATTCTGAAATAATAAAAATGCAATCATCTAATTTGTTTGTCATAGATATAATCTATAAAATTAAAAGGAATAAAATTTGTTATTCCATGATTTACATCTATTTGAGTATAAATAAATTGAAATTGATTTTAATTTTTTTGAATAAATCAACTAAATCTATTTTTAATAATATTTTTATGCGCAAAACATATAATTCATTAAATTTGAAAATTTATTTCAAATAAATTTTGAAATAAAATTAAAATAAATAAAAATCGTAATAAAATAAATTTTTAAATAGCATAACCTCAAAATTATTTAAATTTTCTTAAAAATTACTTTTAAAAATTTCTTTTACCTTCAAAAATAGGCACGTATTGTGTAAGTTGCAACTCTATCAAGATATTTAAAAGATTATTATCCATTTTGGTTTATTCCCATTTTTTCACACAGAAACTAAAACTTTTTCACGCATGATATGCGATTTATGACTCGACGTAAATGATATGACGCAATCATCTTTGCGCATGAGCGACTTTTTATGGGAAATCCTCTTAGAAGTTAGAGGAATATTCTTAAACATAGAAGATTATTCTAAATTCTAAGAGTATTATTTTTATTCTAAAAAGATTATTCGGAATATAAGAAGAATGCTCTAGAATAGTCCTTTTGTTTCGATCCTCTTGAAATTAGAGGAAAATATTCCCATTTAAAGAGTAATACTCTTGTTTTAAGAATAAAATTCAAGAGGATTCTGTGAGAGGAATTTTCCTCTGAATACAAGAATATTTTTTTTTTCGGTGTAAATCAGAAAATTTGTATATAACATAACCTTTAAAATTAACTATTAAATCAGTAGATTTTGTGGCCGCCGCCATATATTTATATTACTGATTCAATCAGTAATTGATATTTTACTAATTGAATCAGTAAATTTCTACTAATTGTCAGCTGCTTAATTCTCGCTATTAATTAGTAGATTTCTACTGCTAATCAGTGAAATATGACCATAACTTGGTCTAGAATTGAGCTAGATAAAAAAAAGCATTAGTTTTTGCAACTTAAAATCTAGAGGAATACGTAGCCGTTATAAAAAAAAATACATTTTTCGCAAAATAGCATCAATTTTAAGGAAAAAGTGCTTATTTTTGACAAAATTTCGTTACTTAAAGTTGTCTAGAAAATTTGAATATTAATATTTCGAAAAATCCTTACGTATTCCTCTAGATAATTATATCACAAACAAAATAAAAAAAAACTAAGAGGATCAATTGAAATTTGTGGCAGGTAGAGTGCCCACCGATTTTTCAAATGTAGTTTTGAGAAAAAGGGGTTTCAAGTTTTCTTAACAGTTTGGTCGTGATTAACAATGATTAAATTAAAAATTACCTGTAATCAGCTACGCCGGGTCCATATAGCATATAATTTCTATGCCTATAAGGTGTACTTTAAGCAAACAAAATTTTTTTCAGATTTTTTAAAAATTTCAAAGTGGTGTAACTCCTTAAGGAAACTTTTTTCTTAAACCTTTCTTAGAAACTATGCTGTAATTTCCAGAAAACTAAAATGATTCACTGTAAACCAACGTGTTTTAATAAAAATTTCGAGTTTTTTATTAGTAAAAAATCGGTAAAATTAATTTACCAGCAGAATATTTATCTGAATATATTCTGAATTTTTTCAATTAAAACAAAAATTTCGTTTCGAATCCAAAAAATTTTATTAAAAAAAATTACATAATAAGATTATTTTTATTAAAATACATATAATATAGTTTATAAATGTATCCAGTTGGGAAAAATAGTGAATGGTAACTTTTCTCATATTGCTTTTATTATATGGAATATGAACAAGAGAGGGAAAATTTTATTTGCGCTTCACTATCGCGCGCGAGAGAATGCAAATGTCCGCGCGGCGACAGAAATTGAAACAATCCGCCAATTAGAATCGTCGGCATGACAGGATTATGCAAATTTTCATGCGAATAGGCGGACAGACTGGCAGCTGGCGCTCGCTTAATTCAATCCCCGAGTTGTCTTATGAATCGTAAACCGCACTGTGAAACTGAAACTGCACCGTCACTGCGCGCTACTGTCATATATATATATATATATATTATATATATACATCGCAGCATCATATATATATACATAGTATATATGTATACATATATATGTAGTCATCAGTATTTGCTTTCCATCGATTTATAAAGAATAATATACCCCATGTTTATACCAAATCGTGTTTTTATAAATTTCTTAAAAGCACTATCCATATACTCAAAAATAATTTAACAGAATTTCTAATTGATAGAATTTTTATTTGTCCGAAATTGCAAATGACCGAAACAACAATCGATTTCGGCGCGATTTTTAAAATCAACCAATCACAATTTTATGGATAATTTTTGATTGGTTGATTTTAAAAATCGCGCCGAAATCGATTGTTGTTTCGGTCATTTGCAATTTCGGACAAATAAAAATTCTATCAAATAATAATTCGAGGAAATATCAAATTTGACTCAATGGAAATTATATCTAATGAAAAATTCTATTAATTGAGAATTTTTCCAATTATAATTTTTAGAAATTATTCATGCATCCTGCCCTCTATTTTAAATATAGGTCAAAATGTGGAATTTTTTTGCTAGGAAATTTGTAAATTATAAATTTGAATAAACAATAATTACCTTTCCATTTGAAATTAATTTTCAAAATATAGATATAATTATTTATTTCGTAAAGAAGTTTGATTTTAAATAAATCTATATATTTAAATGACAATCTCGTTATATTTGAAATGAGAAAAAGATCGATATTACGTTTTTCTCTCTCTCTCTCTCTCTCTCTCATTAACAAGGGTGAAACATGCTCATATTTATCGCTAGGAGTAAAACTGACAGCAGTCCATTTCCGGTGCGTCCTGCCTGTCTGGCTGAACATAATATCTGACGAAACAACGTGGACATCGTTTGTTTGGGAAACAATGGACCGAAACAATGCCCATTCCTCTTCTTGTGTATGTTGACACCGATACAGTATTTGCCACATTCAACATATCCCCCTTTTCAACGGTTACGTATATATATATACATACATAAACATGTATATATGTATATGCCTTCTCCAAGAAATCCTCTCTTGTGAAAACACTGAGATGTTCCATATTTGTCGCGTGAAGCAAAAAAAAATTTTTAATTTCAATCCTACTCGGGGATTATTTTCGAGTTTCTTCTTCTAGGTCGTAAAAAAAAGAAAAAAAATTATGATAAAATTTCACTGCAAAAATAAATATCTTCAAACAATGTACTTTTAAAAAGTTTTCTATACCTAACCATCTTCAAAATTAATGAATTTTAAGATGTTTTTGATAACTTTTGCGGCAAGATTTTAAAAAGTAAGTCTTATAAAAACTTTTTTTCTAACTTTTTCAGTGAACAAATTTCTACATAGTTCCTTTTTAAATATATTGTGCAAAAATTACATCGAAATCAAGACTAATTTAAAATTTTTGTTAATATTGTTCCTATAAATGACAATAATTTCTTTTTTTGTTTAATTAAAATTTTTTTCTACAGACATAGACAGATACATGTAGGTTTTAAAATTTAATGAAAAATTGATTTCAACGAACAGTCCAATATATATATATATATATATATATATATATATATATAGACAGATAGATATATAGGTACCATATCATTCAATGCAATCCGTGTGCCTTTCAGATGTAAATTAATCCTATTGATGTTGCATCGCTGGCATAGGGGAAAGGATTACTTTGTAAAACGATTACGGCAATGTAACAAGAAATATTTATATGTCTGCTGCAGTTTGTAACTTCAGATTTTAGTGTGCAAGAAGTACCAATTTTCTTGTATCAATGGGTTTTAATGAGACATGCCCAAATTATTTTTCTACTGATTTAAAAAAAACAATAGTAATTAAAAAACGTCTGGTCGTTAAACTATTCTGAATATAAATAAAGTGGTGAGGAGCACAAAATCTTTTAAAATTATTTTCTTACATAATACTTGAACCACCCCCTTATGAGAATATTAGGATTTGGCACAGAACACATCTACAGGCTTTAAGATATTTCAAAGGCAATCTTCTCAATTAATTTTCCCGAACAATAGAATCCTCAATTTAGTGTAAGTTCTTCATCTTGTAACCCGTCCTTAACAGAGTGTCTCAGAAATATTATATTATTATAATCTACAAAAATCAATCCCCCCTGTAACAATTTTTAATATTTCTCAAATTATATACAATTATTTTATAGCGATTTTAATTAAATTGCAATTTATTTCAATTCTATTGCAGAATGACAACGACAACAGGCGATCCATCAACATTGAAAACTCCAGCGTCACTTTCCAGTGGCGATTTGGTTTCACGACTTTTGGCAGCGACACCACCCTATCTCTACAATGTTCCACTGACACCAAATAGTTTTTTCTTCAGCGAAATGCTTCGATCTTTTGTTCAAGCCAAAGCCGAAGCAACGCCAATTACACCCACGCCAGGTACACCTCGACGAAGAAAAAGATCATGGAGAGATACACGAGATCGTCCTTTGGAATTAACAACAAAAGAACGAAATCATCATCAACATCATCATTCAACTCAACAAAATCATCAACAGGTAGAAAAATATTTTCACACCCAACAACTACAACAACATCATCAACAACAACAGCAACATCTTCTAGATTCCCCTCATTTGGATAATCAAACAAAATCCCTCGAATCATCATCATACGATTTAGAAAATAAAAATCTTCCCCTCAGCTTAGAGCAAAAAACCCAAGAATTTAATAATGAAATATTAAAATCAATCGATGATAATAATCGCTCTGAATTTAAACCATCAAAAAATTATTTTGCCGATCGTATTCCAAATTTACAAGAGACAATATTTTCAACAAATGAAATACAAAAAGTCAAACCAGAAGAGGTAGAGAGAAATTGTACTTACAGTGAAAAGGATAATAATTTAGAGGATCGTTGCAATAAAACGACAGCAACAACAACAACAATAACAACAGCAGCAGCAACAACAACATCAACAAGTAATAATGAATTATCATTTCTCGCTGAACAAAAAAATAAACTTGATTTTAATGCGAGAAATTTTTTGCCAACATTACCAATAAGAGGCGATGAATTACAATCAACAGTTGCTAAAGGATTTGGTCTTACAACAGGGAATGTTCCAAATCCTGAATTTTTGCCAAATCCCCTGTGGTATCCACCTTATCCAATATCACAATCATATCCCGGTATTGATCCATTACATTTTTTTATTGACCTACGTGTATCGGGACACATATGGGATCGAAAGTTGAATGCAGAGAGGCAATTGCCTTTCAAGAGTAAGCACAGCTCAGCTTTTAGTGTACCCCAAGCAAAGGAGTACAATAATCGACCATTGAATTTAACAAGAGACGAGGCTTCATCAACATCGAGATTATCTGAAGAGAATCATCAGGGGACGCATTATATTTTGAAACATATCACAAAAACCTACAAAGATATTAAAGAGGCTGAGAAAGATTCAAGGACCGAAATCACTGAAGTGATGATTGAAGACGAACCACGAAATTCTGAAGGTAATTTTGACTGTTTAATTTTTTTTTTATTTGTTTCTATAACAATTTTACCATGACAATAATTTGAAAACATGATTTTAACTATCAACTAGTGAAATTTTGTTATTTTTTCAATTATGAGAATCAATCAAATATAAATTGACGAGGGGAATTTACTGGTCAAAATGAAAAAAAAAAATAATAATAACTCAGATTTACAAGGTTTTGAACCCGAGCAACAAAAACGAGTTTTTAAGGTAAATTTTTAACGTTGAATTCGAATAAGCAGTCAGTTTTTTCACTGCACGTCAGGTTTTTGAGAGAATTGCAATTTTAATTTTTTGCTACTTTAAACAATTGTTACTGAAAATCGAAATTAACATAACTCGATATCCACTGTCGGTAAAAAAGAACAGCTCTTACTCGATGAATGGCTTATTTCACTTTCTCTGATGATCTTATTATTTTATTTTCATAAAATTGCATTTCTCACATAATTCTGTTATATTTACAATTTCTTTACGCTCTTTTATTCATACACAATCAATTTTTGAACATTTAAAGTGCTAATTCTTTATTTATACGTCATTTTCAATCGAACGTATTGAACTATCTATTGGAACAGATTCAACTTAGGAATTCTATCTGTTAAAATCCAAATACATAACAGATTCAACATATCGCAGTGCAATTCGTTTTCCTGATTCGTGCTATCGGAACTTTTTTTACAGGGAATATATAGCTATTAATAATATAAATGTAATAGATTTAAGTCGAATGACTTTATGTCAGTAATTAATTAATTTTTATCATTAATTCTACTTACCTTTAACAAAATAAATTTGTATGACACAGAAAACTGCGAGAACTGCTAAAAACTTTATATGTACATATATTGTAACGTATGATTTTAATTTATTATTGATTTTTATTTTTAATTTATATTATTTATTATTATATTTTCAAGACAGTCAACGTTATCTACACTTTTTAATTATTAATTTTGACAAGCGCCAAGTTATTTTATGGAAAAGAAACTAAACCTAAAATGATAGTTAAATGACCCGCCAAGTAAATTTTATAATTCTAATTATGAAAAAACTAAAACCAGCTCAGGAATTCCATTGTTACTTTATAGCAACAATAGACCGTGGAGAGGGGGGGGATAAGGATAAACACCATTAATTAGACACAATTTATAATTATAACACTATTTATTAATTATTAATATTCACTTCAAATTTTAAAAACAGTTAAATAATGGCAGAAGGACGAAAGATAAGATTTATATTTTATTTATTCAATTGTACTTTAATAATAATGAGATCGATTCTGAAGGAAACGACTCCTAATTAATTTATTGGGATTCACTGTCCATTTGAAGACGACGATAACGACTCGTCTCATTTTTGTAATTTTTAAATTTTAATTATTTTACACGAAAAAGAATAGAACACAACTTAACTCTAAAAACACCAGGATGAGAATGAGAGTAAAATGGCTGACGAGTCAAACTCGAAAGCGTCGCTAAACAGCGGTCTCTCTTTTCGGTTACATTGATCAATTAATATTCAATAATATAATACCCGCGACCGATAATCGATACGCAGTCATCGGTAACGCAGATTCCTACACTATCCGATGTTAAATTGATTGATGCGAGAATTCCATAGAAAATAAGCTGCCAATAATAGTTTGACAAATCGTCAACAAAACAGCAAATTCGTCTTCCTGGTGTTCTTGAATATTCGGGACTCTCAGCCAAATATATACACCAGGAAGCACTTTCCTCGATGACTTCTAATTTCAATAATGGATAGTGATGTCCTCAATGTCTTTGTGACCCGGCGAGAATCCTCAGTGACTCGCGAGAGTTTTCATAACAGAACGAAAGAACAAATCAGAACCGAATTTATTTATTACAAGCTGACTATTAATCTGACAACTTTGGCAAGTTAAACAAAATGAAACGACCCTGGTGTCGTTTATTTACAAAATTTATTTTAATATAAATTATTATTAAGCTATTTGTACACGACAAAATGCCGCGTTACAATATATATTTATATATAAAAATGGCGAAAAATGTAAATATTTGACAGCGCCATCTCAAGCGAAATCATAGCATCAACTCCCGCCCTTTTTTGAATAAGTCTTTAAATTTTTAACTATGTTGACATTTTTTGTTGTGATTTAAAAAAATTTTAATTATTGCGCGTTATTACGCAATATTACTCGTTATTACACATTACTACTTGTCATTACTCGTTATTACAAAATAATACATGATATTAAGCTAATTACACGGTTACTACAAAAAGAGTACTTTTAAAATTAGGGTAGGAAAAAAATTTTTGAATCTTTTTCAAGTAACTATGCATAAGCTTAATGGCAGAAGTCCTACACTGAGAATAAAAGCACTTGATGTTCGATTCCCACCTTGAAAATTTTTTTTTCCACAAATTAAAATTTCTGTTATGTTTTATCGATTTTATTCTTATCAATATTAACACACGCATAGAAAAAGTTTATTGTAGCAGAGAAATATTTGCTGTACCATTAAATTACGTTAGCTAATATAGAGACAGAGAACAAATTTGCTGTAGGGTCAAGAAAGTTTGCTGTGACAGTAAATTTTTAAAAATTAAGTCTGCTATTGTTTATCACAGAAAATTTTTTCGTTGTCATAGTAAAAAATTTAACTGTGGTTACTAATTTTGATGGATCAGATAGCAAACATTAGTTAGCGTCTGTAAGCAATTTCTTTTTTTCCGTGCATATATATATACACCAAATATAGTTAAATTTTTGTTTCAATAAAATATCAGTAAATATTTCTTTGATTGAAAAATTTATTAATTATATCTGTCGGTAGCACAATACATTATAGTTTTATAAATTTTCCAAATTAATTAAACACTCAGAAAAAAGATATATTTGAACCAAATATACCATTTTTTTATATTTACCCAATTTTTTGGTTAGTCCAAACAAAATTTATTTAATTCAAATAAATATTTATTTGAGCTGCCGGATCAAAGAAGGGCACATAACTAATGTAATTCAAATGGGTTATGTGCCCTTCTTTGATCCGACAGCTCATTTGATCTAAATAACTGTTTGGTTTATTTTAATAAATTTTTGGAACAAAGAAAAAATTTGATTGAGCTAAATAAACGTCTTGAAATATTGTACATTAAAATTAAAAAAAATGAAAAGAAAGTTAAAATACTATACCCTTTTCTTAATCAATTAATTAATTTTCAATGGAAAACGTTTTGTTGGAATTTTTCTAGAATTGGAGTCGTCCAAAAAAGAGGAAACAAATAATTCTGCATCAAATCAAGAGGAGGAAAAGAAAGATCTTCGTGCTCTCATTGGTCTCGAACTTGTTGTCGATTATGTTAAAGAGCCAAAAGGTGAATCCAGTAGTTCCGAATGTTCTCCACAAATAAGAGAGTAATATTTCTGTCGAGCATGTGATGAAAAAAAATAAAGGCAAGTGAAGCGAAAAAAATATATAAAAAAAAGACGAAATCAAAAATCGTCAAAAGCGTTTGTAACTAGAATCAATATCTTCCGTAAAATTATACATACATACCGTGTGTTGCACTATCAAAGCGTCGCATCGCGTCGGCACCTTTTGTCTCTGTGCATTTTTCCCATTTACAAAAAAAAAAAAAAAAAATCCCTTTCATCTCGGTTCGATGCGACAGCAACGTTACCTTTGATCCAAGTTTTTTTACAAGTGGAAATTTTTTTTCTATTTTGAAAACTGAAATATTTTACTTGCAAATCCAAAGAATCCTTATACGCAGAAACATTTAATTAATGACACAATTTTGACTATATAAACCTATAATCATATATAGGTTTTTTATCGATTATGCGGATTATAGAATGTTTGGTAACAAAAATCGGATTTCTTTTCGTATAGAATATTTTCATTATTTTTTGTTAAATTATTTTTATTTGCTCTTCTATTTAAGAATAAATTTATTTGCATTTTATTCTCTCACATAATATATACAGAGTGTTCCAAAAGTATGAAAACTTGCAAATATCTCGAAAAGTACGAATTTTCGTGAAAAATGTTCAATACAAAAGTTGTTCCAAACAAAAAGATCTACATTGTTGAAACCAAAAATTGGGCCCCGTGCCCAATGTTGGGCCCTACAATGAAAAAAGTAGTTTTCTTAAATGAGACCACTAATTTTTAGTATCCATTTCATGACGATTACGAAATGGATACTAGAAATTAGTGGGTTTTATTTTAGACAACTAATTTTTTTACTGTGGGCCTTACATTGGGCCGCGGAATCCTACATTGGGCTCTGTGCCCAATTTGAAAAGTAGCTTTGAATTTTGTAATCCTGTGACCCCAAAAACCCCCAAAGATACGATTTAAAAAATTTTTTTTTGTTTGTCGAAAAATGTTGGGCCCGATATCTTGGATTGGGCCCAATATTTTGGGCACTTATACCACATGTCTGAACGCAGAATTTCATGAGGATTACGAATTTGATATTCAAAATTAGTGGTCTCATTTAAGAATACTACTTTTTTCATTGTAGGGCCCAACATTGGGCCCGGGGCCTAATTTTTTGGTTTCAACAATATAGATCTTTTTGTTTGGAACAACTTTTGTATTGAACATTTTTCACGAAAATTCGTACTTTTCGAGATATTTGCAAGTTTCCATACTTTTGGAACACCCTGTATATATACTCCCCAGATAGCATGTAAGCTTGCAGCAAGCTTACCGCGCAATATTACGAACCTTGCATGGTAAACTTTCCGCAAAATTACTGTAAGCTTCAAATATCCCACCTGGTCCAAGCTTGTATGGTAAGCTTACCGAAAGATTGCAGAGTAAGGTTACTGAAAGATGGCACAATAAGATTAGTGCAAGATTGCTCAGTAAGCTTGCACGATAAGCTTGTAGCAAGGTTGCCAAATAACCTTGCTTTAGACCTAAAAAATTTTTTTTTAATGTTTCGTCTAACTTACATAATTTTATTATATAAATTTTATTATATAAATTTGAGGAACATTCGAAAAAAAATTTTTAGGTTCAAAGCAAGGTTATTTTGCAACCTTGCACCAACCTTGCTACAAGCTTACCGTGCAAACTTACTGAGTAATCTTGCGATAATCTTATTATGCAATCTTGCAGTAACATTAAACTGCAATCTTTCGGTAAGCTTACCCTGCAAGCTTGAGTCAGGTGGGACATTTGAAGCTTGCAGTAAGCTTGAGGTAAGTTTGCCGTGCAAGGTTGGCAATATTGCGCTGTAAGCTTGCTTGGTTACTGTAAACTTACATGCTATCTGGGTCTAAATTTAAATTAGTGCCTCACTTTTTGCTTATAAATTAATTAAATTTTACTAATTCAAAAGCAAAAGGTGAGTAACTAATTCAAAATTAGTTAACATTTTTACTAATTTAAATTTAGAGAGTAGAATATATAATATTCTTCAAATGAGAAGTAGATTTTTAGTTTAAGAATACTTTTTCTTTATTAAGATTATTTTTAAATAGAAGACAAGACATCATTTTTTAAAAGGATAAAACTTTTTCAGTGATTTTATGCATTTGATGGATATATCATCTAAATTTAATTTATTATTATTTTTCTATAGTTCTTATTTCCCTGTGATTTTTTCTTCTCAATATACGAAATCTTTATTTTCACATATATTATAAACTTATATATGTATTCAATATAGAACAGTTTAATATTTTTGGTGCCTCTCTACGATAGAAAAGTTCTATATATATAGTCAAATCTATATATATAAATATATTATTTGTAATATGTATATCAGTGTAAATATAATTTAAGTTATTTATTATAATTAAATATGATATAAAAATTATATATATACATATAATTATATATATTTATATATTGTAGTATAGATGTAAATTTTCTTTTTGTTTTAAATTGTACTTTCTAAATTGAAATTGGAATTTGTTCACTAATTTAAATTTGTAAAAATTTGTACTAATTTTTTGTCATTTTTCACTAAAACAATAAGTAAAAAAAATATTTCTAAATCAAATAGTATAAATATTTTAAACCACTTACATCGTTACTTAATTTATATTTTATATTACATTATATAATTATAATTTATATATGTATATAATTTTATATTACATAATTTTTTATTTTATTTGATCGACCTGTAAATTCTATACATGTATAATAAAGTCACCTGTCGTTCAATTACATAGAATAATAACGTTTAAATATCTCGTTTTTTTTGAAGCAATTATTTCAACTTTTATTATTACTATTATTATTATCATCATTATTACTATTATTATTATTATTATTATGAAAATTATTTTTTGTTATTATTATTAATATTATTATTATTAACCCAGCTAAATCTGAATTAATAAAATCATGCACAAAGACACTTTCAGCAATTATTGACAACTGAGCGGAAGATTCACTCAAGTGAAATCGTAATGAAGTCGCAAGATCGATTCTCGTTAATTTACTTGATGGTCCTGGGTAAATGGAAATATACTTGGACAAAAGCGTCATCGAATGGCAAGTGATAATTGCACCTATCTCTCGACATAAGTCTCATATATTATATATATTTATAACGTGCTGAGTTAAAAAATTGTTTTTTTTTTAAATAATACTGCAAAATTTAATTACAGTTTTTAAAAATTATTTATTAAAAAAAAAATTTTTCTTTATAAATTTTTACAATTTTTAATCTTATTCATAAATTTTAATTTGATATCTCGTTACATAATTGCAGAAGCTCTTGTGTGACACAAATGTCAGAAAATATATATCAAATGTGTGTGATTTAAAAGTCGAAATAGAAATGTCATGTTTCGTGCCCTTATGTCAATCTTTCTTTTTAAACACGCACTTCACCTTTCTCAACAATTCTTTTTCTTTGCATTTTAATATATATATATATATATATATATATATATATATATGTTATCATTGACCTTAGTTTGGTTGGTTTACATTCACTACATTTAAGGACGTTTATCCACGGAAATGCAGACCTCCAGAAAAGAGTAATTAATTAACATTTAAATAATTAAAATAATATTATTAACCCAGATAGCAACCTTGCGGCGAGCTTGCCGCGCAATATTGTCAACCTTGCCGCAAGCTTCAAATGTCCGACCTGACCCAAGCTTGCATGGTAAGCTTACCGAAAGATTGCTCTGTAAGTCTACCGAAAGATTGGAGTTGTAAGGTTACTGCACGATTGCACAATAAGATTATCGCAAAATTGCTCAGTAAGCTTGTAGCAAGGTTGGTGCAAGGTTGACAAATAACCTTGCTTTAGACCTAAAAAAATTTTTTTTAATGTTTCGTCTAACTTACATAATTTTATTATATAAATTTGACAAAACAAAAAAAATTTTTAGATTTAAAGCAAGATTATTTGGCAACCTTGCTATAAGCTTACCGTGCAAGCTTACTGAGCAATCTTGCACTAATCTTATTGTGCCATCTTACAGTAACCTTACTCTGCAATCTTTCGGTAAGCTTACCATACAAGCTTGGGTCAGGTGGGACATTTGAAGCTTACAGTAAGCTTGCGGAAAGTTTACAGTTCAAGGTTGGCAATACTGCACGACAAGCTTGCCGCAAGGTTACGTGCTCTCTGGAAATTGTACTTTCTGAAAGAAGAAATATTTTTAAATATTCTGTAGAAGCAATGTGGCAGAAAATTTGTATCCTACTCTCTAAATCCGAAAAAATGGCATTTATATTTATAGGAAACGAAAAAAAAAATTGAAATTAAAAAATAATTTTTGAATAGGGTCCTGAACATAAAATTGTCACCCGACTTTTCTATAAAAAAGAAAATGAAGAAATACAATGTCGTTGTTATATTATTTCTTTATTTAAATTTTTTCTTGTATAAAGAAATTGTTATATGCGCTCGTTAATGAAACAATGGGACAATAGTGATAAAAAAAAAAGAAGAAAAATGTGAAAATAATACAAGGTTAGAGTCCTCGGCTATTATATCAATATTGGAAGCAGGCGAGAAATAAAACGAAGCTATTAGATAGACTACTTTGAAGTAGATGAATATATATGTATATATATACACTATACACATCAGACGCCGTCGTTGTTGGCAGTAACACGAAGCTCCAGAAGCACTTCTCCCTTATGGCCATTGTTGAGTTTGACGAGCTTCCGATTCCTTTCAGGAACGAAGAACATTTCACCCCATCCCGACGATTTTCTTGTTGGTGGTACTTCGGATATTCTGTAGTAAGCAGGGGGCCTTACAATGTCCTTACTATTGTCGACAAACTGCCTTAATTCAGGAACGCCGTAAGCATAAACCTATTTTATTTTAGATAAATTTTATTAGTAATATATTTATATGAATTTACAACTTTCTACAAATGTATATACAACTCTGAAATTTTCTCTAAATTTGAATCAATGATGAAATATTTGTAATTTAGCAACTGAATCAAATTTTCACTGAAATTTCAGTTATATTTCACTGAAAATCAGTAGAATTCTTTACTTATTGAAACAGTCAAATCTATTTTACCGATTAATGATAATGCAGATTTGACTGTTTAAATTAGTTTGATTTTCAGTGAAATGTAACTGAAAGTCAGTAAAAATGTTTTTATAACTATAAGTTAATAACTACAAATTTAGAGAGGAATTGCAGGCATCACAGGTGGAAATATTTTCACCTTTTTTCGATAGTACCAATATACTAAACCTGACTCGGAGTGATCGTTCAATTCGTTTTTCATATTTTAACTAAGGCGACCGAGTGATAAATTCAATTATTTATTCAATACTAAAATAATAGTTTGGGTTGTTCCCGAGAGATTGTCTGCTTGTATGAATGTCATGACTAATATAGTTATGTGATCATGACTGCCAATGGCAATAACATTGTTCATTAAGTATTTCATTGTGTTAACTATTTCACTCTTAAACATATATCTGATTCTATATGCATTATAAATCTTGCCAATACTTCTTGAGTTTGATTACTTTTTTTCGGTAAAAATTTTTTGCAGAGAACGAGAGAACAAAAAATAGATACAAATTTTTTTATACTGTTTTAATTAATTCTTTTATTTTCTTTATATTTAATATATAAAATTGAGGGTGTGTGTGCGTGTGTGAAATTTTACAATCATTTTTGATCGTTTGAAGGACGATTATTTTTCAATCCCTGGATAACCCCTCAAAAGGGGCGATTCTCTCGTATAAATGAACAGCTACGATTTTGGGTCAAATTTTCTCGACTCTAGGTATGCTAAGGAATCACCTGATACCCAGGTGAAGATGGGGCATCGTAGGAAAACTTTTTTTTTCTTTGCAGCCACCAGTTCGGAATATTTAATTGCAATGTTTAGTGAAAATTGTGTAAAGATTTAAATGTCCCACTTGAATAATAAATGTTCAGGAAAGTTTCACATTAAACATTTATTTAATCGGGACATTTAAATCTTTACACAATTTTCACTAAACTTTGCAATTAAATATTCCAAACATTTTCAAATAAATATTTAGGAAAGTTTCGGTGCTGTCGGGGAACGGACAAACGAAAATCGTTAGTATAGTATTGGTACTTTTCAAGTGAGAAATTTCTCTCCGTGTATATTTTAAAGATTTGCCACCTTTTTTTGATTATTTTTAGGGCTGATAATAATAATTATTTTTTTAAGGAGGTTTTCTCCTTACATTGATAGAGTCAAAACAATGTCCATTTAATAGTAAGGAAAAAAATTTAACAATCCATCCAAGTCAAGTAGTCAATAAAATAAAAGAAATTATTTTTGACTCATTGAGTTTTAATGCATTGTCAACATTACCCAAGTTTTGGATTTTATAAAAAATAAAGTTAATGTTTAAATAAATGAAATTTCTTTTCAACTTCAAATAAGTGTATAAAAGTATATAATTATTTGAATTTCAAACAAAAAGAAAGAAACTTACTTTTTTGACAGCTGGTCGATAATTTTCCAAACCATCATTGAAATCACCAGCGGCAAAGCTTAAATCTAAATCGCGTGACGATTGTTCAACATTTTCGTCAACAAAATTGATGGGTTCATTTGCAGGAATACTGTTCGTATTGTCAACATAATACACTCGGCCAATAGCTGAGCTAATTACGAGGACAAGAACGAAAATGTACACGAATCGATGTTTCATGTTACGTGTTTATGTTTTACACTAAAACTAAATTCACATCAGTATATCTCTCTCTCTCTCGTTGTTATCCGCACAATGTAGAATATTATATAGAGAATACCAAGAGAAGAGAAAACACTTGCTTGTTATTTAATTATAGTAGCATCTACTTTCAAATTCTCATTTAATCCCCTCGTGTAAGAAGATTGTTCCATACTTTATTGATATAATTATTAATTGATATTCCTAAATTGAATATATATGACAAAAGTTTCTTCAACAGAAAAAATACGCGCAGATATTAATTTAAATTTTAAATCATCTCTTTTTTATTTCAATGTGTCATGTGCATTTGCAAATTATAAAGCCGAATTTAAATTTGAATAACAAATTATTTCAATCGAGAGGTTTATTGCTATATAAATCTACCTGCGATTTGTTTTACCGCAGTAATATACACACACATATATATATATATAGATGCAGAATCGTTCGAAAATATACTCGGGGCATTCTTTGTCAACTTTGACCCCCAATTTGTCCATTACAGATTTAAACGAAAAAAGTTTTTCTATGCCTCAAATTAAAGCTTGAAGTCTATATTTTTGTTTGTAATGTGGCCTTTATGAAAAAAATAAAATTAATTGATCTGAAGCAGTCGAGACACGTATAAAAAATTTATTTGTTGCTAAATAAATATAAATTCTATAATAAATGTCGTTCTTCTTACAACATACCCAATCAGCACGAAAACTTGCAAGAAATTTGCCGTGCAAGATGTGCAAGATTGCAGTGCAAACATGTAGCAAGTTTGGTGCAAGCAACAAAATGTTCTCTTGTGGCAAACTTGCAGGGCAACATTGGCTCAAGTTTGCAAAACTTAATACGATCCGCAGTTGTATAAACGGAAGCTCTTACGGCTGCGCAATAAATTTTTTTAACCTCTAAAGCAGGGTGTCCTTTATGTTTATTTAGTAACAAATTGTTTCGAAAAAAATTTTTTTTTAGTATTATACAAGCGTGTAACAAGCTTTTTGCAAGTTTGCTGCAAGCTTGCTTAACTACCTTGCCACAAGAGGACATTTTGTTGCTTGCACCAAACTTGCTACATGTTTGCACTGCAAACTTGCACATCTTGTACAGCAAGCTTCTTGCAAGTTTACTGAATATTTCTGGAGTTTATCCTGAATATTTCGTGACATTTTACAACACTCAGTTTCGTAAAGAGCTGTATCCGCTATTCCGTGATAGTTCTGTAAAATCTACTGAATTAATTTTTTCAACCGCTTCGCCCACAAAAATACGAGATTTTTGAGCATGTGTGGTAAAAAAATAATTATTCGAAAAAATGAAATTTCGGTAAAATAAAAACTGAGCTGAAAATTCATTCAAGTAACAATTCTGTAATATAAAAATTCGATTAAATGAAATTTCTGTTAAATAATAATTGGAACAAATGAAAATTTGTCTAGATGTAAATTCTAGATAATGAAATTCTGCCAATTGAAAATTCTAACAAATTCATTTTAGAGCTTATTCATGCGTTTTTTTTTACAGAAACAATATTGCCGCACATTGCTTTTGGTAACGCGGCAGAAATATTGACGAATTAAAAATTTGATTTTAAATTCTTTTTTTTCATTATAGAAAAAATATCAGCTTTCAAAATAAAAACAGAGTATAGAAAATATTGTCTAACAATGGGTTAAAATTGAAAAAAGACTTAATTTAAAAAAACGGCTAAAAATATTTTTTATTGCTTTAATTAAAATTAATCAAAAATTAAAATATCAAAAAAAAATGTATTAAATTCAAGTTTGGATTTTTTTCATAAATAATGAAAGAAATGACTTTTTTTTAAGTTGTTTAACGATTTGGGGAAAATTTCACTTCTATACAATGTAATCTATATATAAGTATACAAATTCTCTGAGGAAAGATTTCCCATTTACTAAATGGAATCTCGGCAAAATATATAATATTAAAAAACGGCTTTTTTTTCGCGCTCACAGGATCATTTGCACTGACTATATATATATATATATATATATGCGGGGAGGGTGTAGTAAGGCAAGTTCTGAATTATGCATGAAATTTGTTCCCGGGAATCGAATCTCTCTTCTCGTCACCGACGGCACGAGAACAAGAGAGTGAGCATAAATCTAAATAATTTTAGCTCTTCGAATTTTTATTATTCCTATATATATATATATGATGACTAAAGGTATAAGTGATGAATATGCATATATATATCGTTTAATGAAACAGTGAAGAATCGAATTTAAAATGTTAGGTTAAAAATACAAGTAATGATTTTTTTTTAATTACTAAAATTCTTTTAAAAATGTACTAAATACTTATGTTTCAAAGATATTCGGCCATTTACTGCAAGTTCGTACAGTTTTAACGGCTACAATTTTCTTCCTTTTAAAAATATGAGCAAAAACGTCGCTGCCCCGCCATAAGGGGCAAAGCCGTTTTTTTGCATCTTCTTGAAAATAATTAAATTAAATAATAATGCTTATAATAAATTAAAGAATTATTAGTAAAATTTGTTGTTAATTAGTTTGAAATTAATTAGAAAAAAAATCACGTAAATTGATGGTGTAATAACGAAAATATTTACAAATAAACGTTACATTAGCGTCTTTGCCCCGCTCTCCCCTACTCTTTCTACGCTCATTAAATTCACATAAAAATGCTGTCAGTCTTTTGGGATGAACTCTCGGTAAAAATATATACATATATTATTAATTTCAAGAATATTATTTTTCTTTTCTTTTTAAAACAAATTTTTGAAATTTAATATTCTTTTATGTATCTAGAAATTTAATCATCTCTCTTTTATTAAATATTAAAAATGTATAATAACATTTTTTACGGCAATTTGGACAAATTTACACCGCTATGAAAAAAAAAATGTGTAATTTTGCGACTCAGAGTTAAATAAATATTTAATTCAAATATAATTTGAAAAAAAAGAATGGTTAATTTTTCCAATTTTTAAAAAAGATTTAAAAGCGTAATAAATTAACGGATGAATTTTGATACCTTCAGGAATACATACATACATATATAAGAAATAAGCTTTTCCATGGGAAATTAATCATCTTGTAAAAAATTCCAATATCTAAATATTTTACAGGGACATATCCCCATTATTCACTGAGAAAATTTCTTATAAATCTTGGCGAATTAACGAGCAACAAAGATGACATTACGTCGTTGCTCGTTTCTTTTCGTTTTCCCCCTTTCGCTGTGGTAGATGATCGTTTGCCAAGACTGCGTGAAATATAGCTCGCAACTTTTCTCATACTTGCGGGGAAAGTTTTCTCAAAAAGCATATTCTTCACCCTCATTGCAAAATATTGTCTTATCTCTCAGATGAAAAGAAACCCGCGTGAATAAAGGAACCAACTGTTACATACACCTGATGACAGAGAAAAGATCATTTTTCTCTCAACTCGCATATATATATATATATATTGATATTATAAATTTTGCAACGAAACACTTTACGCGTTGATATTTGTATTTTTCTAATTAAATGCATTTTCAAATTTAAAAAAAAAGAAAACATGAGAAATAAGAATTTTTTTTCCTCAACAACAATTAAATTAAAATTTATTAAAACTGCTTTTTATTTTATTACATATTGTGACGCGCTCTGAAAAAAGGGACCTTAGAAGCAACAAAATTGAGGTTATGTTTTGAAATTTTAAATTGAAATAAATATACAAAGTGGATCAACTTTCAATAGAAATAATTGATATTTAAGTCTTCATTACATACAAAATATTTAATAAAAACTTATTTTAATTTTACAAAAGTAAAAAGAAACTTGTAAAATTACCGTAAACATAACCTATAATTCGTTTGCTTATAAGGTCCCTTTCTTCAAAGCGCGTCATATTTATATTGTATTAGATTCATATTTTATTATTTATTTTATTTATATCCCATATGGATATCCTGCGATATAATATCCAATAGAGATTTTGTGGATGTCTTAGGGATATCCTGTTGATGTCCCACAGACCGGCGGTTTGGATATCCTAGGGATATCCTGGGGATAATTCTAGGATATCGACCATTGATATGGATATCCTAGGGATATCCTTTTGTTATGAGGGTACCCTTAATACAACAAATTGTATTGCCGATTTAACAATTTAGTTTTTTGTTATTTCAACTGTTCCATAATAATTTTCTTTTTTCATCAAACAATTCTGTTTATTCACCCAACAATCCAAATAGTTTTAATAACAATCCCATTTGAACAATTTTTTCTTGTCTCAAAAACAAATAGAACTGCTGGTTCTATATTGACAATCCGGAATTGTTGTGTGGACTTAATTTTTAATAACCACAACAATATTTTTTTCTCCGTGTAGGCCATGTAATATTTTGTAAAAGAAAATTAAGTCAAAATACAGAAAGCGAGCAGAAATTTCAGGAATATTTAGTGCATTTCTGATACTATAATATAATAATGATTGTAACGATCATAAAGTCATACCCAAACAAAAGGATGCGAATCTGAGAAAGCGATTCTGCATCAGCTCAATACGCTTGATGTGCAAATCATAATATGGGAACCAGATCAATGATGCAAATTCCAGAATTGGCCTGACTAACAAAAAAAAACAATATTTTTAATAATAGGGAATTTTTAAATAAATTAGCGTTTCCGGTGACATTGTAAGATTAGCATTACCAATGGAGTATCTGTGCCTGGTTATAAGTCTTTTCCGTGATAAAGATAAAACAGAGCATTTTTCCAAATTCAAATGAAAATTATTATTATCACACCATGTCAACTGAAAATATTTTTTTCAAAAATAATAATTAATTTAAAAAAATAATTCTAATGAATAATAAATAAAATAAGTAAACAAAATTTTGAATTATAAAAATTAAAAAAAAAAAAAAAGAGGAAGCCAACACTACGCGGTATTCCCAAGCGGTCACCCATCCAAGTACTAACCGCGCTCAATTGTGCTTAACTTTGGTGATCGGACGAGAACCAGTGAATTCACAATGAAATGAGCGTTGGCTGAAAATATGAGTTTTACAAATTGTCCAAATATTCAACTCTCAGGTCTAACAACATTTGGCTACATTTATCAGATAGTAAAAAATAATTAATTATTAGTAAAAAAAAACTAATTTTCAGTGTAAAAATAACTGAAAAAATGTTGATTAATTGAATTAGTTATATAACAGAAATTTTTGTTTATTTTAACATAACCTAAAAGTTAATTTATAACTGATTTAAGTATTTAACTAATAATTTGTTTTTTTAAACCAAAAAAATTATTACAAATTTTACTATTATTTTCTCTAAAGAGAAAAACGTATAGGTAGCCCGACCTCAAAGTTACTTGGTGTTCTCTTTTTACAGGCATGGTGGAGGGGGGGGGGGTGATTTTTGAGAAATTAATTTCTATGGGAATTTATTTAATTTCTATATCTAAAACTGAATTTTTGCTTCTTCTAAATATTGATTTGGATTCAGTCTCAGTGACTTTAATTAATAACATAGAAATTGGATATATAAAAAAAAATTTTAAAAGCGGATTTTTTCAAAAAATTGTTTGGATTTTCTTGAAACTTGCTATTCGGGGGTTTTTGGGGTCCTTGATTACAAATATATTAGTTTATAAAAATTCAAAATGGCGGAAAAAATGAAACGATTTTTTAATTTTTGTTTTTTGAATAGCTTACCCTCTTGAATTTTTTTTTAATTTTTCATAATAAAACAGAGAATCTTAATTGAATATAGGAAAAATACGGAATTTGACGGAGAGATATATTTAATTTTAATTTGTCTATAATTTTTGCTATTTTAAATAAATTAAGAACTTAATAATAATAATAATAAAACAGTAAAAAAAAATAATTTGTAAGTTGTTGCTTAAAAATTGTTCAAAACAATAACTGTTGATAAAATTAAAATTTTGCATAACGACTTTTGGGACATATTTTGATTCGCAAAAACTACAAATTATTAATAAATTAAATATTTAAATTAATTAATAAATTATTAATTATTAACACTTAAAAATCTCATCATAAAAAAATTACTAGCCCATTTCAGAATTTTTTATTATAAATTCTGTCAAATGAAAATTTTATTAATAAAAAATTCAGTGATTTAGATAATTTGTCATACAAAAATTCGGTTAAATTAAAAATTTGCTGAAATAAAATGTTTTTAAAAAATTTAATAATAAAATTTGTCTCAATAAAAGTTCAACCATATAAAAATTCTAATTTATGAATTTTATTTATGCCTCAAAATTTTAGTAAAAATTTGTATATTTTTAGTGAAATTCCTGGTTAATTTCAAATTAATTTAAATACCAGTTAAATACTACGATTATTTCAAATATTAATGTAAAAATAAATTACATTTAAAATAAGATAAATTCTCCAATAATGAAAAGAAGCAATAAAAAGACTAACTGTTTGTCATGTTGTTATCTGTAATTAAGGTTACTTAGAGCACGAGATAATAACTATTTACGATAAATTCTATTTCAACACACGTATTAATTTAATGCTTGTCAAATCGACAAAAAAAAAATAAGTTTCTCGTCTTTTTAATTAAATTAACAAATAAAAATAGGTTTCTTTTCTTTTTAAAAGTTCTAAAATTGTTTTTCTACATTTTTATTGATTTTTTCATATATAATACTGCACAGCACGTCGATGCCTGTTTCTCTTTAATCGAGAACAATTATTTCGCGTGTTAAATCAATTAAAATTATTATACACATCTTATACATTATGTTACACTGGTAATTCGTGAACAATAATATTAATATTTAATATATAATAATAATTTATCTACTAGAGGACTCAAAATTAAATGAGACGGACATATTTACGAAATGACAAAAAGAAAACCTAAGCGTTAACAAAAAAAAAAACGCTTTCAGTCCCATAATAATGATAATTGTATTATACAAAGTCATCATTATTAAATGATAATTGAAAAGTTCAATACTAAACTCAATATTACAAGCAATTCGTCAATGAATATTGTTTTGTTTTGTGTTTTTTTTTAAAGTGACTTCTACAAGGAAAAATTAGAAACAATTCTTGACCGTTCCAACAATTATTTCATTAAATTGTAGAAATTTGATCGGTCTGTCAATAAAAATGTGTGCAATTTCATTGCATCGTATTTACGTGAACAAGAAAATGAGAGTATTTTTTAATAACAAATAAATCACTCTCATATTATGAACACGATTTCTACGAGTATTTGGCAGTTCTCAATTAATAAGGCTAATTAGGCTGTTTTTGTTGTTTTTTTTACTTTGTCTGCGCAGATATCTTTTTACAGATTTCATCAGTGTATTCACTGCACTTTGCAGTGCCACCAAGATCACCAGTGAGATATTTAGCTTCTTTGATTGTTTCATAGGCGGAATTCTCAATTATTCTTGCATGATCATTCAATCCCATGTGTTTTAACATCATTACAGCTGATAATAAAAGTGCTGTGGGATTTGCTTTATCTTGTCCTGCAATGTCTGGAGCAGTTCCGTGCACCTGAGGGAAAAAAATTGTTTATTTAAATTGATATTAATGAATAATTAATTGCAATTATAATTATTATAAAATTGCTTCTTTATAAACATTTTTTTTTTAATTTTACTGACAAAATTTTTTTACAAGACATTGAAATAAGTTTTATTGAAGAAAAAAAGGATAGTTACCGATTCAAAGAGAGCGCCATTTAAGCCAATATTTCCACTGGGTGTAAGTCCAAGACCTCCAACAAGACCGGCACACATATCGGAAAGAATGTCACCATAAAGATTTGGCATAACAAGAACATCATATTGACTTGGATCTTGTACCATATTTAAACAAACAGTATCCAAATATCTCTCTTCAAATTTAATGTTTGGGAAATTTTTCGCTGCTTCTCGACAACACCTCAAGAATAGACCGTCAGACATTCTCATAATATTTGCTTTGTGTACAGCTGTGACCTATACGAACATTTTTTGCAACAATAATATTTTTAAAATCATTTTAGGATTGTCGCAAAAGTTTTATTTTATGTTTTTCCCTGAGTTTCAGTCAGAATTAAAATTTTTTTTCCCCTAACTCTAATGAAAATATTATTCAAGAGAATTTCGATTGTAAAAAAATTAGACAATCATTTTTTAAAGCAAAAGTTTGAATTGGAAACAAATATTATAATTTTAGTAGTATTTTTTGAAATTTAATGTTTTTCCAGTACTTTTTATAAAATTTCCTGATTTCCCTGATTAGTGTAAACCTTGGATTTGTTACAAGTTATAATTTAAAAGAATTTTTGAATTGGAATAATTCTCAAAATTTGAACTGATAATATTTTTTAGAAAATTTTAATTATTCATTTGAATAATTAAATAAATTATTATATAAATAATATAAATAATTTTTATATTAAATCAAATAATTAGGCCTCGTATCGACTTTAAGGCGCAAAAAAGTCGTTTTAGTCGATTTACATACCAAAAAAGTCGATTTATTTGAATGAAATTTAATTAGTTAATAAATATTTTACTTTAAATAACCAATGTTCTTAGATATTAAATTCATTTTATTAATTCCTTAACAATAATTCTATAAGAATATTATCAAAAAAATTTATTTGGAATATTTTTGAATCAACCTAAGACAAATTTACGAAGCTGAAGTACTCAATGTTTATGATAAACGATTTTTAACGAAATAATTTTTTAAAATCAAAAATTCTATAATTTTTCGCCTCAAAATAATTTTTTTTATGATTTGTTGATTAATGAAAACTACAAGAAATATTTTTTAGGCAAAAAGTTGAAAAATTTTTCATTTTAATAAATTATTTCTTTAAAAATCGTTTATCATAAACGTTATGTACTTGAGCTTCGTGACAAATTTTCAAAATTTTAATTAAGTATAAGACAAATTTCTAAAGTAAATTCTTAAAGTTCCATTTTTAAAATTTTTTTCAAGTCTGATTTAAACAATTTATTTGATTTAAAATTTTGACATAGTTTTTAGTTTAAATAATCAAAAAAAAATTTCGGACAATAATTAAGTTACACAGATTTTTAAATTAATTTTTGCTTATAATAATTAAATTACAAAAGATTTTAAATTTAAAATAAATTATCTGTAAATTTAAACTGCTGTAGTTTTTTTATGACAACAATTTAATTTTAGAGTTTTTATTTCAAAATTTTTTTTTAAATAATTGAATTTTAAAAAAAATATTAAAATTATTAAAAATAATTGAATTTTGGAAGAGTTAAAGTTGAAATTTTTAGAAATAATTGACTTTCAAAAGATTTTGTTAAATTTCAAACAATAATTAAATTTTACAGAATTAAAAATAATTTCTCACATAATTTTAGATAATCTTTTTTAAAATAATTCAACTTTAGAAGATTTACAATTCAGATTTTTATAAATAATTGAACTTTAAGTGATTTTTAATTGAAATTTTTATTAATTTCTATTGCTGAAGAATTTATTAGAAATTATAGACAAAAATTGAACTTTAAAAGTTTTTAATTGAAAAATGTTTTCTGATAATTGAATTTTCGAAAAATATTATAAAAACATAAAAAATAATTGAATTTTCAGGGTGTTTAACAAAGATTGAGAAAAAAATTCCCTGACTTTTCCTTGACATTTTTTTATTTTCCCCTGACTTTTTAATAACCTTATTTCTGCTTTTTTTGGACAAAAATATGGTTACTGGCATTTTTAACAATAAATTAATTTCTAATGGTAGTAACAAATGGTAATAAAAACCATTCAAGTTTTTTTAGATTTAAAAATTTTTAAATTCAGAAAAATTTTTAATTTTTGTAGAAATTTACAGAAATTTCCCTGACTTTGAATGAAATTTTCTGAAATTCCCTGACATTTCCCTGACCAACAAAATTCCCTGACTTCCCTGACCGTTAGACACGCTGATTTTGGAAGAGTTAAAGTTGAATTTATTAAATTTCAGAAAGTTTTAGATGAAAAAATTTAGAAATAATTGAATTTTAGAAGGATTTAAATTAAAATTTTTGATAACATTTGAATTTGAAGTGATTTTGAATAGAAATATTCGGCAAGTTTTATTTGCTGGTTTTATAAAAATTTTAAACAATTTATTTATTTATAAAAAAATTCATTAAAATTATTGAAATTTAAATTAATTTAATTTAAATTTTCTAATTTACAGAAGAATTTTAGTTAAAAATCTGTTAAAGAATTGAAATAAAAAAGATCTGCATTGTATACTAAGAAATACGTATTTTGTTAACAAAATTTTTGTAAAAAATATAAAAAAAAAGTCGAAAAAATCACATCTTATTAAAAAAAATCAGACAAGTGCGAGTTAAAAAAATAAAAACTAAAAAAAAAATTAAAAAATAATAACTGTACTGCTTGTAAATCGTAATTAATTATAAATTGTTCTGTTATATAACAATAAAATACTTTATGGAAAACAATTTTTTATACTCTATTCCAATTTTAAATAAAAAAAATGTGTTTGAAAAAGTCGATTATTTGTAATTTTATTTCATAGATGTCGAAATAAGTCGAAAAAAAAATAATAATGAAACGTACCTTTTTTCTATTATTTTCCTGAGCATACTGAAAGGCAAATTCAGCAACTCTACTTGATGCTTCTTCAGTAATGAGCTTAATAGACTGTACAACACCATCAACAATCTCATGTTCAATACCTGAATATTCACCTTCAGTGTTTTCTCTAATTGTGACAACATTAACATTATCATAAAGAGTTTTATATCCCTCCAATGATAGACATGGTCGTACATTTGCATATAAATTGAATTCTCTGCAAAAAAATTTAAAAAGAAAAGAAGAAAAAGAAAATTAAATAATAATAGTGTAATCAAGTCACAACACTTGCATTCAGTTATTTATAAATTATCGTAAATCTAAAATTACTTGAAAGATAAGTTCAATGTTAGACTTTATAGTACAAGATCAAGGCGATAAAATGATTCATTGTCAATTAGAATTATCAATGAATTATATCATTTTCAAATGCAAATTGCATTCAATATATAGTATTTATAGATTCTTACTTTCGTAAAGCGAGATTCAGAGATCTATGACCTTTTCCTATTGGAGTCATTAATGGTCCTTTGAGGCCAATTTTATTTCTATTGACAGAATCAATTGCTGCCTGTGGAATTCCAAATTTTCCATCTGGACCTCTAACTGGTGTCACATCAACCGTTTCCCATTCTATTGGAACCTATTTTGTGAAAAAAAAACACATTTTTTTCCATAAAACATGAAAAAAAAAAAATAATAACCAGTGTGTCTTTAATCAATAAAAAGATATTAAATTGTGTCTTTAATTGGATCAATGCGGGAGAGATTAAAATGTCACTGGGACGAGTTAGGTCACCTTGCGCGACATTAACGGATAATTATTAAACAAATAAAAGAAAAATAAAGAAACACACTTTTTTTCGACTCAAAGTTACGTGATGTAAGTGAAAATAGGTCACGATCATTGGGGAAAATGTATAAAAATAATTGAAAAATCAACTTTGGTTTATAATAAAAGGAAAGTGAAAAAAAGGGTTAGTATTAGATAAAAATATCTTACCTTGGCAGATTCGAAGATCTTTTGTACGGCTGCTGAAATTTCGGGCCCAATTCCATCTCCAGGAATAAGTGTACATTTCTGTAGTTTACTGCTGTAAAGACGAACACCTCCAATTTTTGGGGAAATCTATTATACAAGAAGCAAAAAGAGAAAAAAAAAAGAGTGATGCATGAAATTTTCATTGTTACTTCGTTCTTTTCTTTCAACACTTAAAGAGTGATAAAATAAAATAAAGAAAGAAAACGAAATATTTAGAAAAAAGAATTAAATTTAAATGTTAAAATTTTAGATAATAATGATGATGAGAGCAGACGGATGTTTTTTTCAAATAAAAATACATGGGAATTTCTAACCTTTATTTCTTGTATTGTAATAATGATCAAAATAGAAAGGAGGTTCTCATATGATCAGTAGGATTTTAAAGATTAAATATTAACTTACAACTTGGCGTATCCATTGGCCTGCCATTCTTATTAATAAACTTTTTTTTTTTTGTTAAAAAAGAAGTTCACTTTTTTCTCTCTCTCTCTCTATAAATTAGATAAAATTAAACACGTCAGACCCGATACGCACAGAAGATGAGAAAAGAGCAGAAAAGCACTTGATTGGCCGGTTTCGAGAAAATCTTCTGCTATTCCAAAACGGAAGTTAGCGGACGACGCGTAAGAAAAATGTTCATTGCGCAAGCCGACAAATTTTTGCGGTAAATTCAAAAATATTCATCTTTTTTATATATTTTTATATAAATGTTTTTACATTGTTGTAAAGTTACAAGCACTATATGAAAAAAAATATAATTGCTTATTCAATTTTATACAATTGGGATAAAAGCTAATATGGCGTAGAGACAAAATATCAAAATATAAAAGAATATAAAATTTCCTAATTTTAAAAATCACAGTTAATTAGGTATTTTTAAACAATAGATTATTGTTAAATTATTATTATTATTTAACTAAAATAATGAAATTATTAATAATAATAAAATAATGATAACAATAACGAAAATAAATAATAATTATTATAGAATAATAAAAATATTAATATAATAATAATTGTAAAATAATAAAAAAAATATAGTAAAATTATTACAAAAATTAATATTAGGTATTAATTTAGTAAAATTTGCGAAAATACAGAAAATTAAAATTGATAATTCTAATTTGACGCACGTAGTTATTTGCTTCCGGTGCGGCTAAAGTTCATCAGCAAATCCGGCCATCTTGTTGGACGCGCTTCTCATAGGACGTGAATATTTTGTGACTGTGCATTTTCTGTTGTAAGTTTTAAGTTTTCTCGACTAAATTTGACATCAAAAAAAAAAAAAAATAATCATAACTACATTGTAGTTTCTGAAGAAAAAATGAAAACCGAGGAGTAAGTTTTTACATTATAAATTATTCTACTTCATTAAAATTGTTTTTACTTTAACAATGCTTTCGGCATCTTTTTTTTTCATCGGTTTATTTCCGCATTAATATTTCACATATTTGTGAAATTATTCTTCAACACGTTTATTGTGAATAATTTTAATATTTAATATTGAAATAATTTTAAGTGAACTTTTTTCTATTCAGCATAATTTAACGTATAAAGTACGTTTTTTTAAATATTAAAAAAAAAAAAAAAAAGTTTCGCCCTTGCGGCGAGTAACGAGTGCGTGTATAAGTATAATTCGCAAAAGGTTTCGGTTTCGTCATCAAACTTATCGATTGGTGTTTTGTTTCCATGGAAAGGGGATTATAAATTTAGAAATTTATTCAATAATTAGCTAAATTATGGAAAAAGTTGACAAGAGAAAATTCTCAATGTTTTTTGAAATAAGTTTGCAATTTTTATGAAACAATAATAATTTCATAGTTAATGTTGATTTTATTTTGTCTTATGATAAAAATTTTATGAACTTTTTTTTATGATTTTCGTTATTTTCTGTGTGATAATAATTTTTGATTTGCCTTCAGCGGTTCTCAAATGCAAAATAACGACGAGAGGGATCGGAGCCGAGAACGCGATCGCACTAGACGATCGGAAAGAAATAGAGTTAATTCGGCAAGTCGTGATCGTAGCCGAGACAGAAATAATGATCGAGGAAGAAAAATTTCCGAAAGACGTATTTATGTTTCAAATATTCCATATGACTATCGTTGGCAAGATTTGAAAGATTTGTTTCGCACCGAAGTTGGCAAAGTGGCACACGTTGAATTATTCACTGACGAAAATGACAAACCACGAGGCTGTGGAATCGTTGAATTCGAGGACGCTGATTCTGTTAAAGTGGCTGTTGAAAAAATGCATCGTTTTGACATTAAGGGACGCAAACTTGTTGTGAAAGAAGTGAGTTTAAATATTTATTATCTTTTCTTTTATTTCAATTTAGTTTGAAAATAATTTAGTAATTGCAATTAATTCCATTTTTCACTCTGTTTAATAAAAAAATTTCTAAAAAAGTTTTCTTTTTAACAGTTGTCAAAAAAATAAATAAATAAAATACACAAATTATTTAAAAATATAAATTTTATTAATTGCATTTTTTATTCAAAAAAGTTGAATTTATTAGATGGAAAAAATTTTATTTAACAAATTTTTCATGTAAGAGATTGAAAATAAATTTATTTATTAATTTTTACATGCAATTTAATTTTTTTTAAATTTATAATTTAAATTAATTAATGAATTAAAATTTTTTTTTTAAATTTGAAAAATATTTCCAATTTAATTGAATTTATTATTTTAATAGAATGAAAAATATTTGCAGAATTTTGATTTGACGAAATTTATTTCCATATAACAGAATTTAATTTTTAAAAAAAGAATTTTTATGAAACAAAATTTTTGTTTAATTTAATTTAATTTCTATTTATCTGAATTTTTAATTAACAAAACTTTTTGAACAGAGCGACAGTTGTTTTTACAAAACTTTATAATTATTTGTTAGAACCTTGATTTTAAAAATTTCATATATAAGAAAATAAAAACAAATGACGCTCTGTTCAATAAGCGGTTCTCAATTCATACATATTTTATAATCTCCAAAAAAAAATTCTTCACAAATTCAATTATCTTAAATTATTTTTGAACTAAAATTTTCATGAAATTTAATAATTGTTTATAATTTTATAAAAAAAATTAGCAAATAAAATTATCAAAATTTTTTAATTCAAAATCACTTGAAATTTAATTACTTGCAAAAATTTCTATTGTTTTCAATGATTTTTATAATATACTGATGTTGCCAAAGTTGAATCGACAATAAGAATTTTTTTTCCCTACGATTGAATATTTCCTCGCCTTAGTTGAGGATTTTTAGTGTTTAAGGATGTATTTGGGGTCGAAATAAAGAAAGTTTAAATTTTAAAAAATTGGTTCTTGGCCTTTAAACTAATCTGAAAACGAAAAATACGTTCGTTGATTTATCGAATCAACGTTGGTAACTTCAGCGTCATAAAAATTTCTCTTATTATAAAATTATTGTCTGAAATTTAACACAATCTTTGGGAATTCAATTATATTCAAAAATTTCAATTTAAAAGCTTCTAAAATTTAATTATTTCCAAAATTTTCTATGTAAAATTTTTTGAAATTTAATAATTTCAATTATAACTCTCCTGAAATTAAATTTTTTTTAATGATTTTCATAATATTCTTCGAAAGTTCAACTATCTAAAACCATTTTTCGCTAAAAACGTTTTCAAATTATGGTATTTTTGTCTGCAATTTCTTATAAATTTTTTAATAACAGAAATCATATAAAATTTTTAATTAATAGTCCTTTGAAGTTCAATTAATTTCAAAAATCAAAATTGTAAATCTTTGAAAATTCAATTACTTTTAAAAAATGTTATCTAAAATTATTTGATAAATTTTATTTAGTTCTGTAAAATTGAATTATTGTTTGAAAATTAACAAAATCTTTTGAAATTCAATTATTTCTAAAAATTGCAACTTTAACTCTTCCAAAATTATTATTTTTAAAAAAATGTTTATTTAAAAATCTGTAAAACTTGATTAAGTATTACCTGTAATTTTTTTTAACCATAAAAACTAAAAATTATGGCAAAATTTTTAATTTGAATAAATTGCTTAAATCAGACTTGAAAAAATTATAAAAATGGAACTTTAAGAATTTTTTTTAGAAATTTGTCTTACAATTAGTTTGATTCTGAAATATTGGAAATAAATTTTCTTGATAATATTTTTATAGAATTATTATCATTACAGAATTAATAAACTAAATTTAATATTTAATAACATTAGTTATTAAAAATAAAATATTCATTAACCAAATAACTTTTGTTAAAATAAAAATTCGACTTTTTCGACTTTTTTGTGCCTTAAAGTCGAAAATATGCTTTAACAGGGTTTCTACAAATCATGGAAAACATGGAAATTCATTTTGGATCATGGAATCATGGAAATCTCATGGAATTTCTGATCATATCATGGAATTTTTTCAATTCCATGATCTAAAACTCGAATTTACACGTTCGTTGAAAATGACCCATTTTCAGTATTTTAATTCGTTATAATTTAATTTTATAGTGAATTTTAAAGTAACATGGAACTTTTATCATTTATCACCTGGAAATCATGGAAAAATCATGAAATTTCGCGAAGAGAAATTTGTAGAAACCCTGTTTAATAATCGAAGAGCTTATATTACTTTTTTTTATATTAGATCTTGGATTAAAAATTCGCCTAAAATATTTCTTGCAGACCTGTGGATTTCTGTGTAAGAATATTGTAAAGGGAATTGAAAAAAACCCCACAAATTTGCTTCATTGAAAATAGTAATTGTATAAATATTGAGTTGAAAATTATTTCTATTTCAGGATTACGATGTAGAACGTGACAAGTACGGTCGTTTGGCTTCCTCTCGTAATAATGATAGGCCACCACGTGAAGATAGATTTAGAGATCCTCCCAGACAAAATTCAGGAAGACAAAATATGTCGGCACCAAGTAGTGGAGGAGGTGGTGGTGGCGGCGGCGGTGGCGGTAATGACAGCAAATTTGGTAACACTTATGGTCTTAGCACACACTTCTTGGAATCGCTCGGCATCAACGGGCCTCTAGTCACCCGAGTTTTTGTTGCAAACGTTAGTAGAAATATTTCTTTATTTTTCATTTTATTTATTTATTTTTTTTTTTTTTGTAAAAAAAATGTCTTTTTTCGAGAAAGAAATATGAAATTTATTTTTCCCTTGATTTAGCTGGACTACAAAGTGGATGAGAAAAAATTACTCGAGGTTTTTAAACTTGCTGGTAAAGTTTTACATGTGGAATTGGGTAAAGATAAAGATGGAAAATCGCGTGGTTTTGGCGTTGTGGAATATGATCATCCAGTTGAATCGGTACAGGCAATTTCGATGCTTCACAATCAACAGCTTTTTGATCGTCGAATGACGGTACGTCTTGATCGTGCCAATGAGCCTGATATGCCACCAAAATTGCCCGATGGCTTAAAAGGCATTGGCATGGGATTAGGAGCTAGTGGTAATCGTTTGACTGATGTTGCACGTAATATTCCCAATGTACAGCCAAATAATCCACCAGTAGTGAGTTCAATATCGGCGCCAGTACTTGCGACTGGTGCATTTGGCGGTGGTTTAAATAATGTTGTTCCTGCACAATTGGCATCTGTATTGTCAAATTCAAATGCAAATGCATTGCAAGCAAGTTTAGCGGCCGGTGGTTTGGGTGCAAATCTTGCGACAAGTTCACTTTTAAATCAATCGTTGACAAGTGAATTGGCGTCGAATTTAAGTAATTTTGGAGGCGGTGTCGGTGGATTGTCAAGTTTACAAGCATCATTGGCAAATGCTCAGGGAAATAATAGTTTTGCGCCAAGATTATCAAAAATGGATAATGACATTCCATTTGGTGGTAATAATGCATTTGGTGGTTCAAATTATGGAGGTGGTCGTGATTTTGATGGATTCAATAGAGGCGATGGAGATCGAGTTTCTGGTGGTAGTGGAGTATTTTCCACTAATCAAGGAAGCGGTGGTGGTGGTGGCGGCGGCGGTGGAAACAGACAAAATAGCAATGGATCGCGACCATTGTCTGACACAATTTTGATAGGAAATGTAAGTTAAATTTTTATTTTTATTAAGAAAATAGAAAAAAATTCTTTTTATTTATGTAGAAATTGATGAAACATTTTAGATGCGCCTAAAATTCTGAACGTTGAAATGAACGAAATAATTTTTTAGGTCTATAAATTTTTTTAAAATTACTATATTAAACAATAAATAAATTATTAATTTATTTTTGCATATAGAAAGGAATATTTTAGAATAAAATTTGAAGTTAAAAAAGTAGTAAACAGATCTTTTGTTCATTTGAAAAAATTTAAATTGTTCTTCATACAATGTTTGTTTAACATAATTTTCATTTGATCGAATTTTCGTTTATCACAATTTTTTAAATAGAATTTACATTTGATTAAAAAAAAATAACAAAATTCGTTAATGTCAGGGAAAAACACTAAATATTGAAATTTTTTATTTACAGCTTCCATCAAATGCAACGTGGCAAATGTTACGTGATAAATTCCAAGAGGTCGGAGAAGTCAAATTCGCTGAAATGCGTGGTTCCGATTTGGGTTTAGTGCGATTTGCAAATGACTGGGACGCAGAGAGAGCAGTGTGTATCCTTTGATGACAAAATTTATAACTTTCAATATTTAAGGGTCATTTTTGAAAATGATTTTACAATTATTTTTATTTTATTTTTGCAACAAAAAATTTAATTAGTTTCAATTATCATTATAATTAAATATAAAGTTTGGACAGTTTCAATTTTTAATTCAAAAATTTTATTTTCTTTGATAAAAATCAGATTTAAATAAAAAAAAAAACTCGAATTTTTTTTAACTAATGATTTTTATCAGTCTTGAAAAATATATTTAAAAACAGTTTCTATTTTTTTCATTTTTTTCTTTATTTTTATAAAATATTTTTTCCATTGAAATAACAATTTAAGAAAAAAATTATTTTCCTTAATGAATTTCTTTTTCTAAATAAACAGCAATGATGAATCGTTCACGACTTGATGGAAGAACAATTGATGTTCGTCTCTACTAAATCTCGTCAGGTAATTTTATTTATTATTTAGTTAACAATGGTTCGAAAATTATGAATTTTTTTCCCTTGATAAATTTGAAAAATTTTATTTCAAACTTTGTGTATAATTTTGAAATTGAAAAATTTTTCTAATATACACTAGATGAAATAAAATTTCTCTTTTCGGTATTTCATTATTTTTATATCTGTAATATTGCAATTGATCTCATATTATTATTATTATTTCCTGTATTCAAAAATATTTAACAAAATGGAATAATAATTTTAGAACCGAATATTTAGTTTCTTTAAATAGTCATTTTAAAGAAAGTAAATATGAATTAATGTCTAGAAATTTCTACACAGAGATAGAAAATCGTGGGCAAAATTTACGTTTTCTTAATTGAGAAAATAAATGATAAATTTTTGTCAATGATTTATCATCTTTTGTTTAGATAATATGCTTTTAATTAATTTTGAAACAAGAGAAATTAACGCATGTTTAAAAACAAGCAAAAAAAATGGACTGCTGAATGCTGACTACGTTTCTTGCTATTTGCAGAAGGTTTTTGAATATCTCTTGGACTTTTTTTTCTAGGAAAAACGCTCTCGTATTAGGGGTATTTATACTTTTTTTTGCTTAAATAAAAAAACAAAAGAAATTGGGTTTGTTTCAGACAATTTTCTATATTGGATTCGCAAGTTCAATTTAGGTGAAGAGTGTCAGACAATTAGCGTCTTCATTTTATCTGTGAGAAAAAGAGAAAGAAAAGAGAAATGCTGAGAAATCATTATTTTCTGGGAGGACTGCTCTTATCGTATTTTTTAATTTTTTTTTTTTATTTTTTTTTTTTAATTTTTGACTGCGATGAATCATGGACTCATCTATGAAAAAAGAAAATTCGTATTCTCGACTATGTGTAATAAGATTTTTGTCGTTTTCCTGGAAATCTTGATCGCCATTCTCTCATATATAATTATCTTTCATCAATAAATTTTTTCATTATTTCAATTTCTGACGGTTGGCTCTTTTTTCCATTTAAAAAAAAACTCTTTTTACCTTTCTAATGAAATATTTTGTGGAATTAAAAAAAAAAAATTCTTGTTTATTGCTTGAACATTTTCCTTGTGGGGCAATATTTTTGTTCTCTCTTTTGACCAAAAAATAAGCGAAAAATAATTATCACTTTTATTGATAATTTTAAATTGATGAAAAAAAAGAGAGAATCAACGATATTCACATTCAGAAGTCCATTTCATAATGATTAGCGTTGACTGGTATTTTTTTCTTTTTTTGTAAAAAAAAATAAGGTTTTTTTCGTATTGTGATTCACAGCACTATTTTATTTTGGCGACAAGAGCTCGATATTTCGGGGGATTCTGAATTCGCTTCGTTTTAATTGTGAAAGCATCAACCCAATTTTGCGTCAGGTCTTGAAAACCTATTATTGATATTAAATCGTTTGCCATCTTTTAGGGAGAGAAAAAAAAGAAATGAAACTTTTTTACTGGAAACAAAAATTGTTACCTAATTTTTTGTACGTCGAACACAATTTTTTTTGTGTGGATTTCGGAAATTCTTTGAAATATTGTGAGATTTACTGATTATTTGGTTCTTGGATGTAACGATGTTGGAAAAGATGAACGAAATACGAAGATGTATTCAAGAAAAATACAAAAGAAAAAAAAATTGATAAAAAAAAGTCGAGCAAAATTCATCGCAGAAGCCAAAGGTCGTACGCTTTGCACTTTAATGAATTAAATCTATTTTTTTTTTTTTTTTTTTTTTTTTAAGAAGATACATTTCTTCGATCAAGTGTGACTTTTTTTTGTAGAACTTTGTGAAAAATTGTTCTACATTTAGGGGACGAGTTGAATTTTGTTGATTGAAGTGGCATTTGTTTTAATTCACGTTGCTTTATTAGAGTTCAAAGATTTTTGAGAGCAAATTTTTTTTTCTATCCTGAAGTTCTCTATTTGTGCATTCAAAATGTTAGTTCAATTAATTTTTTGTATTTATAAAATGTATATTCCATTTTGAATTAGTTGAAGAAATTAAATTTAATGCATGAAAGATAGAAAATATTTATGTCATTATTGAAATGTCGCTTTTTTTTCAATGAAAAAAAAATGCATAAACTGATTTTCTTTGATCTGATGGAAAATTTGATTAATTTTTTTTTTCTTTCAATTTGTTAATGTATTAAAAAAAAAAATAATTTTTTTTTTCAAACAATAAAAAGAAAACGAGTCCCTGGTCTCTATAAGAATTTTGCAATTGTCCATAATATTCAACGTTACGAATTTAGTTTTCAGCGTTGATAGTTTTTAGTCTTTTAGTATGTTATTTAAGGTGAGGTATATTGTGGTTTGAGAGGTAGCAATGTCTTCAGTCGTAAAATTAAATTTTGTAAACATTTTTTAAATTTCAAAAAAAGCAAAACAAAAACAAAAGATATGAGAATAAATATCTTACTCGCAATAATAGGCTGTTGGTTCAATTTTTGACGAAATAAAAAATAAAAAGAAAGAATAAAGAATGGTTGATAGTTTTGTTATCGATATGTTTACCAAAAATAATTGGGTTTTTTTTAAATAGAAAACTACAATGACAATTTTGTTTTTAATTCTCCATATATTAAATTATATAAGCTTAATATTTATTATTATTGTAAATTTTCTCGTTTCTTGAAAGGTGTGATTTTTTTTGTTTTTTTTTGGTAAACATATTTTTTTCCTCTCGCCACGTAGATCTCAAGGAATATTCTACGCATTATATAACATTCTTGTATACTCATTACTATTGCAAAGATGGTGATTGAATAAATTTCAAATTCAATTTGTCTATGAAATCATTTTTTGGTCGTTTTGTGTTTTATTTATTTAAATATTGTGCTTTCTCTTTATCATACAAGGCATTATTTTTCCTGTCAAAAAAAAAGGAAGGAAGGAAGAAGAAAATGTTGATGGGCAATTTTGTTAATTTAATTAGAAATATTCATCATATTGCCGTCGAAACAACAATATTTATGGATCAATAATTTTTCTATAGATAATTTGAAAAATTCGAAGTACTAACAATGGGAATGTATATTTTATTCGAATCTCGCTAAATTCTTATTTTGTATTGTATTTTCCTTGATATCGGTTAATTATTGTGATATATGTTGATGATGATTAGATTCTTGAGAATTTTTTTTTTTTTTGCTCAGAGAATTTTAAATGGTCGCAAATAAGTTTTTTCGATAATTATTATGTAATCATTAAAGAAAAGAAAAAATTAATTTTTTTTAGTTACCAATCAGGATAAATTAATGTGTCAAAAATAATTTTTTGGCTTGTTGAAAATTAACTTGAGTGTCTACTAACGAATTAAATAAAATTTACTAAAGAATCAAAGAAAGGTAAGCAAATTTTTGTAAAATTTTGAAATTAAAAACATAACATTGAAAAAAGTTTACCATTTTTTCTAAATTCAACAATTACAAAAAAAAAAATAAATAAATTCACAATATTACGTAATTCATTAACAATATAAATTCGAATATATATTAAAAATTTCAATTGTAAATTAATTTTTAAATTCCTTTGAAATATTTTTTTTTCTTTTTGATGATCGTATTTATGAAAATTTGCATCTAATTATGTAATTTATAAATTAAATTCTGTACTTTCATGTTTTTTAAAAGCTTTTAATAAAATTAAAAATAATTAAATTTACAAATGAATAAATTTAAAAATAATTGCATTTTATAATTGTAATTAAATTTTTTAAAATACGTGAACTGTATTGTTAATGAATTAATAGTATTAATTTTTAATTTTTATAAGTTTATAATATTTAATTATAATTTTTCATAATTTATTAAATTTGGAAAAAATGATAAAACTTTTCAAAAAAAAAAAATATAATAATTAAATTTACATAATTAATTACGAAAATATTTGAATTTCAAAATAATTAAATTGCAAAGTAATTATATTTGAAAATAATTGATATAAACTTTAGACTAAATTTAAGACTCAATTTAAAGTTTTTCAATTGAAAATTTTCCTTCGTATTAATAGTTTACAATTTAATAGTTATTAATAGTTTAATAATTTTATGAAATTGAAATTTTAAATAAAAGTTAGTAGACACTCGAATAAAGTGAAAAAAATTTTTTTTAATGAAATATAAAGTTTACAGTCGTTTTTTTCCAAAGTAAATTTTTAAAAAATTAAAATTTCATTAAAATAATTATCGAAATTTTCAAGAATAAAATCCGTTTGTATAGAAAAAAAAATCATGAAAATTTGAAGATGCCATATGGTAAGTTACATTCTTTTTATATCTTCTACACAGTTGATAATCAATATTGATTGCTTGGTTTTCAATATCTTCAATTTGTTGAAAAAGATAATTTTTTATAAATCATTTATTAGGTTTTCAATATTTGTACTAACAATTTCAAAAAATATGTCATCGTTTAAATATTCTTCAAGAGTCTTTGTTGATGATGATGTCAGTTTTTTTTGCGTACAGAAAGTTGATTTATTTATCCAATTTATCTTCTCTCTCGTTTATGAAGATTTGTTAATCCTCGCATATAATACGCTTATAAAAATATTTTCTTCGTCGAGAGTGTTTCAATTTTTCCTTATTTTATTTTATTTTTATAAATATTCATCTTTAAATTTTATTTACTTTTTTTCAGATAAGAAAAAAAAATTTCTAAATATATAAATAACAATTCGGTAAGCAATAACTTCTCTTGGGGGACAGAAAGAGAAAAAAAAAATGTTTACATATAAATTTTCCTTTTACAGGCAATTTAACAACGCTTCTGAAGGTGATACTCGAGTTTTTTTTGTTTTTTTTTTTATGAAAAGTAAGTAGATATTTTTTAATAATTATTTAATACAATAAATTATATATTTATTTAAATAAAAATGTAAATGAAAAACAAAATATTTGTCATAGAAATTGTATAGGAAATGATTTTTTTAAATAAAAAAATAAATAATTAGCAATTTTTTATCGCACTTGTATTTTCACAATCTTTACATTTTATAAAATAGTTTGATGGAATAAAAAAAAGCAAGATACTTTTATTGTCTGTAAAGGTCGGAATTTTTTTTTCGCTAAAAAATACTAATTTACACTTTGTCGTAAAGATTGGGCAATTTTTTTTTTTTTTTTATAATCAACTTTTAAAATGTATCCGAACTTTACAAGATTTAAAAGAAAAATGTATCTTACTTAAGAAAATTTCTAGTACGTATTTTTTTTATACAATTAATAATAAGAATAATAGTAATAATGTATATATGTATATTTCTATCTATATGTCTCTTTTTATCACATTTTAAATCAAGGTATCAGTGTTACACAAATATTAAGAACGTATTCCTCCTTAATTAATTTCGTAGTTTTTGTTTCGTTTTTAAACGGAGTTCAATTTTTTTTTTAACATTTTGACATTTCGACAGTGCAAATACTGATCACTTTTTGACTGGATTAATTATAAAAAAAAATTTCTTTTTTTATATCTTAAGTCGTAAAATAAAATAAATTATCAATCGCCGAGGTTTTATACGATTTTATATTTGAGAGATACACTTCCAAGACCGTTGATTAAATTATCAGTAAGAATAGAATTATGCATAGGCGAGCATATTTTTTTTAATTTTACATTATTGAGTACATTACAGAAAAAAAAATTTGAGACAATATTTTTTTTTAAATATATAATATAAGAAAAACATTTATACATGAGTGCACAAAAAAAAGTCATTTAAGAAATAAATTAATCAAATATCGCGAAAATAGTTCTCAAAAATATAAATAGCTTTCAGTAAATATTATAATTTACAAAATATATTTAATTTTCCAATTATTACACGAAAAAAAAAAAATCACAAATTTCACTACACATTTTTAATTTTTCAATAACAATAATATTAGTACAAATCAATAAAGGCTCTTTATAAAAAAAAAATTCAATTTTTTTTCCAAGTACGTGAACGCTTTCAAGATTATAATGATGTACCCTTTTTTTAAATATACAAACGCAAATAAGAGACCAGTCTTTGCGAAGATTCTATACAATATTAATTGAAAAGAAGTTTTTTTTTTCTTTTACAAAATTGATTGTTTAAACCCCGTTGTTTTCATTTAAATTTTTCGGAGATTAGTGATCACAAATTAATATATATATATATATAAAATTTGACGATGTGTTCTCACAATAAAAATTAACTAACAAAATAATTCGGCATTTTTTCTTGTTTTATATATAATTATTATATTACTAATGCATTTGCACAAAATGTCGAAGATGTCTAGGTACATTGTTAATTGGTTGTGTTCTTTTAACAACTCTGGCAGCAAGACATGTTAATGTTGTATATTTAACGGGATTCACAGCATCATAACGTGTTTTATCATTTAAGAGCATCTCAAATGTTTCACCATCATTATTAACGGCATCAATATGAGCACCAGCTTCGAGTAATGTTTTTGCCACATTAATACGCCACGGTATTGTACTACGCCACATTGCAACAAGATGTAATGCTGTATTACCGTCGTAATCTTTTGCCGTCACATCGGCACCAACTTTTAATAATGCACGTGTTAAATGAGGTGATGGAAATTCACAGGCGGAATAGCTACTGACAAGTGCAGCATCTTTGCAGTGTGTCAATTGCAATGTGTCTCGACCCTGCAAGGAAAAAAAAATTGAAATGAAAAATTAGTCATCAATATTTGAAAATATTTGCAATTTCGGACAAATGAAAATTTCATCAATTAGAAATTCTGTTAAATGATTTTTTGGTTAAGTAAAAAATTCTCTAGCATGAAAAATCGGTTATATGGAAATTATATCAAATAATAATTCAAACAAATGAAAATTCATCTGAAAGAATAAAATGAAAATTCTATGCAATTAAATTTTACCCAACAAAAATTTTTTAAAATGCCTATTATGTTAAATGAAAATACGGGTAAATAAAAATTTGAATAAATAAAAATTCTGTGAAGCGAATACTAAAATACTAATTCGGCACAAAAATAATTATGACAAATGAAATTCCATAAAATGAAAATTATAACTAATGAATTTTAGAACACAGGCCTCGGATTATACGACTATTTCGACTTTTTTCGACTTATTTTAATAAAATGCGATTTTTTCGACTTTTTTTTACATTTATTAAAAAAAAATTTAAATAAAATTTTTAGTATACAATGCAGATCTTCTTCAGATCTTCTTTATTTCAATTATTTAACAAATTTTTAACTAAAATTCTTCACTAAATTAATTATTTTATTAAATTTTTAATGAAATTCTTTACAAATTCAGTTTTCTTAAATTATTTTTCAACAAAAATTTTTATGAAATTTAATAATTGTTTATAATTTTAAAAAAATTAGCAAATAAAATTACCAAAAAATTTTTAATTCAATATCACTTGAAATTTAATTTTTTGTAAAAATTCAAATTATTTTTAATGATTTTCTATAATATTCTTCGAAAATTCAATTATCTGAAAGCATTTTTCAATTAAAAACTTTTGGAATTCAATTTTTTTATGTGATTTCTAATAAATACTTCATTAACAGAAATCACTAAAAATTTCTCTTATTATAATTATTGTCTGAAATTTAACACATTCTTTTGAAATTCAATTACTTTTAAAAATTTCAATTTAAAAACAGTGCAGATCTTCTTTATTTCAATTATTTAACAAATTTTTAACTAAAATTCTTCACAAATTTAATTATCTTCAACTATTTTTCAATTAAAGTTTTTATGAAATTTAAAAATTGTTTATAATTTTAAAAAAATTAGCAAATAAAATTACCAAAAATTTTTAATTCAAAATCACTTGAAATTTAATTATTTGCAAAAATTTTAATTCTTTTTAATGATTTTTATAATATTCTTCGAAAATTCAATTATCTGAAAGCAATTTTCAATTGAAAACATTTGGAATTCAATTTTTGTATGTGATTTCTAATAACTTCTTCATTAACAAAAAACACTCAAAATTTCTCTTATTTTAATTATTGTCTGAAATTTAACACATTCTTTTGAAATTCATTTATTTTCAAAAATTTCAATTTAAAAGCTTCTAAAATTTAATTATTTCTAAAATTTTTTGAAATTTAATAATTTGAATTATAACTCTCCTGGAATTCAATTATTTTTAATGATTTTTATAATATTTTTCGAAAGTTCAACTATCTAAAACTATTTTTCGCTTAAAAAGTTTTCAAATTATTAAGTATTTTTGTCTGCAATTTCTAATAAATTTTTTAGTAAGAGAAATCATAAAAAAATTAAAATTAAAAATCACTTGAAGTTCAATTAATTTCGAACATCTAAATTGTAAATCTTTGAAAATTCAATTGAAAGATGTTATCTAAAATTATTTAAAAATTATTATTTTTAAAAAATTTTAAATAAATTATTATATTTTTTATTATGACAAATGAAATTCCATAAAATGAAAATTCTAACTAATCATTTTTAGAATATAATCATGCGTCCCAAATATAATGGATTGATTCTCATATTTAATAAAAAAAAATTTCTATTAGGGAAATTGAAAAAAAAAAATGATTCTTGTGTGTCAACCTTGAAAATTTAAAAAACAACTGAATAATAGAGAGAAAGAAAAGAATACTAACTTCTTTGCCCTTGGCATTGATTTTCACTAGTTCATAAAGTACTCGATGTAACTCCATGTGCTCAGCACTATCGGGTTTTGGTGTATCTCGAGTCAGCAAACATGCCAAATGAAGAGTGATGACTAAAACACGATTTAAATTTGACAAATCTCTTTCGCAGGCAGGCATTTTGTCTAACATTTGCTTGCCTAATTTAACTTCCAATACCTAAAATAAAGAAAGTAATTAAAATCATATACGTTTCAGAACAATATTTTGCTTTAAAAAAATATATTCGATAAAACATACTACCTATTTTCATACTAAAATAAATCCTTAAAACTGTTCGAATTTAGTGTTTCGATATATTTATAAAGTCGAATAAAATTTTTAATTTTCGAAAAGAATTTTATAAATCAGAATATACAAATAAGCCAAAATTAACCGAATTTTTCAATTAAAAATTTTTTATTTAACCAAATTTCTACTTAGCGTTATTTTTATTTAACAAAAATTTTATGCAACAAATTTTTTAGTTCACCGAATTTAACAAAATTTTCATAAGAAATAAAAGAAAAATTTACCGCTTTTTTGAAGACTCGCATTAATTCTTCACGTTCAACTGGAGGCACACGTTGTCCTCTACTCGTTTGTTTGACATCGTCACCAACCATAAAACTAAAGAGTTCAGTGAAACTAAAAAGTGAGCCTTGTGTCATTGAATTAAGGGGTTCAAGCATGCTTTGCTGTATGTCAAGAGCATAATTCCATAGTTCAATGCATCGATTAAATTTTCCAGAATCCGCATAAATAGCACCACGAAATCTTATATAATAACTTGTGTCAGGATGAGCTGGTCCAAGTATTCGTTCTCTAATAAGTAATGCTTGCATTCTCATTTCATCAGGATCAGCGAATAAATCTTCTAATGCTTCTGGATCGGTTATTTCACGGGCAAAATCATAAGCTGCTACACCAGGTAGTGCCATTGGTTTTTGTATCACAGGACCATCACCTCTATATCTAAATAAAAAAAAAATTACCAAATTCCACAATTAGATATTATTCAATTTTAAAAGAATCGTATTCCATTTTTTTACAATATTTAAAAAAAATATGTCTTTTTTAGTATACACTGCAGATCTTCTTTATATTTCAATTATTTAATAAATTTTTTAACTTAATTCTTTTGTAAATTATTTTCAATGATTTTAATGAAATTCTTCACAAATTCAATTATCTTCAACTATTTTTCAATTAAAAATTTTATAAAATCCAATGTAATTGTTTAATTGTTTTTCAAAAATTTCAATTCAAAATCACTTAAAATTGAATTATTTTCAAAAATTTCAATTTAAAAGCTTCTAAAATTTAATTATTTTTAAAATTTTCCATCTAAAACTTTCTGAAATTTAATCATTTCAACTATAGCTCTTCCAAAATTCAATTATTTTTATAATATTCAATTATCAGAAAGGATTTTTCAATTAAAAACTTTTAAATTTTACTTGAATTGAACTTGAATTGTTTTTTTATTGACACCATAAGGTTTTAATTCCGTTTCACAATGACTTAGTGAACAGAATCCAAAAGAAAAATCGAAATTCAAAAATAAAAAATACAAACCTTTCATCCATGGCTCGTTTCCAGAATTCTAATGCACCAATCATATCACGTTTCTTATCGACATAAGTGGCACCTAAAAGTTCGAGGGCATCTATTTTTTCTTTTCTGCAAACTAAATGCGGTAACCACATAAGATATTCAACAATGTGCGTGTGACCTGAAAAGTTAAATTATTTTTAAATTTACAATTTTCATTGTTTCCAATAAATGAGGGAAAATATTAATATGTGCATTTATCACTTTGTAATTTGAAAATTTATAACTGTTTTTTTGCTTTCTCTCTCTCTCTTTTTTTTTTCTTTTAAATTGTAAACATTTTAAAATTTCTTTTTACTGCATATTTATAGTAAAAAATTTACTTTTTTTTATATTTGAAGAATATTTTATCTACCTGCAATGGCAGCTGTTAAGAGTGGAGTCATTCCAAAAGAGTCAACATCCATTCGTGCTCCATGCTCAATAAGTACTTTCATTATCTCCAACGAACCACTTTCGGCGCAATCATGCAGTGCCGTGTTACCTTTAACTGACTTTCGGTTGGCATCTGCTTTCAAAGAAAGTAGAAATTTGGTGATTTTTACATGTCCTCTGAAACATGCTATCATTAAACAGGTATGGCCATGTCGATTCGCTAGTTCGATATCTGTGAAAAAAAACAGAGAATGTAAAAATTAGAAAAAAAGTTTCTTAATTCAATTATTTTTTCTTTCCTTTTTTCATAAATAGTACACTTCATAATTACACTATTTAATAACTAAAAAAGAGGTCAAAAAATTTTTACACAAATATGTTCCATTCCTCGAATTTATCAATTTTCCAAAGATCAAATTAAACTAATTTTGATATTAATTTCATTTTAATTATATTTTATTTATTTATATTTAATGAAATATAAAATAAAAATTGTTTTAAATTGAAAATTCATTTAAATAAAAATTTAATGCTAATTGAAATTTTTTTTCTTTAAAAAAAAAAGAATAAATAAATTATATTTACCATAAATAAACATTAAACAATAACAGGCCTCGGATCGACTTTAAGGCAGAAAAAAAGTCGTTTTAGTCTATTTATATTCCAAAAAAATCGAAAAAGTCGATTTTTTTTATTTTAACAAAATTTAATTGTTTAATAAATATTTTACTTTAAATAACTAATGTTATTAGATATTAAATTCATTTTATTAATTCTGTAATGAGAATAATTCTTTAAAAATATTATCAAGAAAATTTATTTCGATTCATTTAGAATCGAACTAATTGTAAGAAAAATTTTCAAAATTTTATTTAAGTAGGATAAATTTCTCAACAAAAAAAACTTCTTAAAATTCCATTTTTATAATTTTTTCAAGTCTGATTTAAGTAATTTTTTGGAATTAAAATTTTTGTCATAGTTTTTTAGTTTTGATGGTCAAAAAACTTTCAGGCAATATTTAATCAAGTTTTACAGATTTTTAAATAAAAATTTTGTTTAAATAGATAATATTATTATTTATTCATAGTCCACACCATTCGGTTTCGGACGAACTTTCGGTTTACATCTTTCTGTTTAAATAGATAATAATTTTGGAAGAGTTAAAGTTAAAATTTTTAGAAATAATTGAATTTCAAAAGATTTTATTAATTTTCAGACAATAATTAAATTTCACAGAACTAAAAATAATTTTTTAATAATTTTAGATAACATTTTTTTAAAGTAATTGAATTTTCCTCGGAATTTTCAAAGATTTACAATTTAGATGTAAATGTAAGTTTTAGAAGTTTTTAAATTGAAATTTTTAAAAATAATTGAATTTCAAAAGAATGTGTTAAATTTCAAACAATAATTATAATAAGAAAATTTTTTAGTGATTTCTGTTGATGAAGAATTTATTAGAAATCACATAAAAAAAATTGAATTCCAAAAGTTTTTAATTGAAAAATGCTTTCAGATAATTGAATTTTCGAAGAATATTATAGAAAATCATTAAAAATAATTTGAATTTTTACAAAAAATTAAATTTCAAGTGATATTGAATTAAAAATTTTTTGGTAATTTTATTTGCTAATTTTTTTAAAATTATAAACAATTATTAAATTTCATAAAAATTTTTGTTGAAAAATAATTTAAGAAAACTGAATTTGTGAAGAATTTCATTAAAAATTTAATAAAATAATTAATTTAGTGAAGAATTTTAGTTAAAAATTTGTTAAATAATTGAAATAAAGAAGATCTGAAGAAGATCTGCATTGTATACTAAAAATTTTATTCAAATTTTTTTTTAATAAATGTAAAAAAAAGTCGAAAAAGTCGCATTTTATTAAAATAAGTCGAAAAAAGTCAAAAAAATCGTATAATCCGAGGCCTGCAATAATTAAAAATATAGTTTTTCAGATTAGTTTCCGTTTAATTATATATATAGGAAAAATTATTGATAAAACGATTCTTGAAAACAATAATCATTAAAGTAAATTATATAATTTATTTTTTTTTATTTAATTACCTGCGCCGTGTTTGACTAGGAATTTAACAATTTCAAAATATCCATCAAAGCAGGCAGCTCTGAGTGGTGTTGAATTTGTTTTTGTAGTGGAATTTACTTTAGCACCTCTTTTTATTAAAAGCTCTACCACAGCAAGATGTCCAGCTGCTGCAGCACACCACAAAGGCGGAGCACTTTCTATGGTATCTCTATCAAAAACCACTATATGAAAAAGACATTCAAATTATAATCAAATTTTAATTATAATTATATATAATCTAAATATATGTAAAATTAAAATTTCAAAATTTTCTCACTTTTTGAAAATTAATTTTAATTTTATTTTTTAATTCTTTTCTTTTCTTGTTTAATAATATATTATTTTGTGAAAATGAAACGAAAAATATATATAATTTCATATTAATTTTTGTTACGAGATTGATATTTTTCAAAATTTGACTTTCCTGCAAGATAAATACTATTTAGAATTGAAATTATTAATAATCTCATAATATACAAATCGGGGTCAATGAACAACGATCAAAATAAAAGAAATGTTCGAAAATTTATTTTTCTCTTCTTATAACCAAATCAAAATCCTATTTACATCCAGAGAAAAACAATATTTGTCTCAGAGCTATAAATAAATATATTTATTTGTTCTTTAAATAAATTTTATTTTATTCAAATTTTTTAATTTTATTTAATTCAAATATTTCATTTTTATTTGAAACAAGTAAATAATATGCTCTGAGACAATAATACAATTTTATTGAAATAAATTACATATTGTGTTGAATGAAAAAAAATTTCTCTAGCGTTTTTTTTTTTTTTTTTTTGTTAAAACAATCGTTTTTCAATGTGTAAGATGACGTTTATGTTTGATTTTTAGAATTACAGTCTATTAAACGTGTGCTACATATCTACAACGATGAATTGCATATTTGACTTTCTCACTAATTCAGATTTTAGAGAATTGACTGAAGAAAATTTACACTTGCATATAAACCTAAATTCACGAGCATAATTTTTCTTATTTACGTTTATTTTATGAATGCAATTCCCGCACATTTCAAACTGTAATTATTTTCAAAGAAATTCAAATTCAAAAAATATACACATCGTATGAAAAAGTTTAACATCAATTTACCGTTTTTAATATATCTAGTATATATAAATGTGACTGTCAGGTCATGTGATCATCTCGCAATATTTATTTACCGGAACTAACAATCTCACATTCTGTTATTAAAATGATACTATAAAAATTAATTACAAACTATAGGAATTAGTGTTTATTTAAGTGTGACAAATATTTCTTTTTTTTTTTTTAATTTAAATAGAACCTCGTTAAGTACAATTTTAATTTTACTTTTTGGTACAAAAAAAAAATCCAATTGAAAAATGGAATTTTCTAGAAACAGTCAAACCTTTAGAAGTGGGATTTCAATTATATTGGAGAATAATTTTGACGGTACTAAAAAAAACAGTTCTTACGTAATATTAAATGTTCAAGTTACTTTTTTAAGTGGAATCACAATAAACTGTTAGCGTCTCACTTATCTAGGTTTAACTGTTTATCTATTTCGAGTAAATTAACGAAATCTCGATTTTACAAGTTCTATTGTAATAAAATCATCCGAAGCAAAATTATACAGGTTTTTGTGTACTAAAATAATCAAAATCCCAGTTATAGAGGTTCTACTGTAATAAAATCCTCAGAAATACTATTATACAGGTTTCATTGTATTATAATTAGAGTGAAACCTCGATAATCCGAATACATTTTAATATTCAAATTAATAAGGTATTTTATACGCTCTCTAAAAAAAAGAATTTTTTTATTAATTTTCACTGCGAGGTTCTACTGTATTTAGAAGTAAACAAAATAATTAACAACTCTATAAAAAGGACACTGTTCATATATAGAAAGTGATTTTTTTTTCTCCTTTATGATCGCAGTTATATAAATTAAAGAAAAATGTTTACCTGATCCAGGTTGTTCAACATCGGCTCCACATTTTTCAATGAGGTATTCAACCACATCGTAGTGTCCATTTCTGCATGCCATCACTAATGGAGTGGCGCCATGTGTTGTAGCGCCAACTAATTGTCCTACGACATCTTTTGATCGATGGCCCAAAAACGTCTGAAAACAAAAAAAAATTTCCTATTTAATTTACAAAAAAAAAAAGAAAAATATTAAAATTATTTAAAAGTAATTTATTTAAATAAATAATAATAATTTAATTAATTATTAACTAATTTAATATTTAATTAATAAATATTAAATTAATATTAATTTCATATTTATTCATTTTACAAAAATTAAAACAAATAATTATATATATAAAAAAATATAAGGGCCGATTTCACCAATGCGGATTAAAGTAGGTGGTTAGATAATTAGTTTATCTGTTAATACATAATTTAATAATAATTAATTTTTATATTCTATTACACAAAAAATGATACTATACATTTTAGTCGCTGTTTACCTGTAATCATATATTCAATTTGAAAATTTGAAATAACTGACTTATTTCTATTGAAATTGACTCTGATTGGTCATCAAGAACTTTCTTGACCAATCAGCTTTAATTAGAGTAAGATACATGTTTCTTCTCTCTCTTTCTTCCTATATTGTTTACATGCGGGATCGTACTATTTTACCTGCTTTGTTTGATCTCATTTTATTAATAAATGTGAAGTAAATAAAACAATTTCCACATTTCTGTGAAAATAATAATGTAAAATTTATAAAGCATGATAGAAAATGCAAAAATAGTGAGTATCATGTGAAAATTTATATTATACATGTGCATGTACATATATTTGTATCAGGAAGAAAATATAACCTTAAAATAAAAAGATCTCAGTATGTTGAAGAAAGATCTTGTACATATATTGAAGAAATTTATAATACCTTATAATTTATTAAAGGAAAACCGAGTAAGAAAAAACTCAAATAATTGATACAAAAACTTTTAATTTTGAGCGTTTTTGAGGTTATATTCACGTGTCAATAGAGTAAGTATTAAAATTACACAAAACTTAGATTCAACAAAACATAAATGTGACGCCGCACGAGAAAAGGTACCTATCCCCGAAATAACATTAGGCTCAGTTTTCCGTGCACTATACACAGAAAACTAAGCCTAATGTTATTTCGGGGATAGGTACCTTTTCTCGTGCGGCATCACAAATATTATTATTTTTACTTTTGATGTTTTTATTTTCGCTGTGTCTATTTAGCCCGCTAGCGGGAGAAATGCAAGATTTTGGCTATTTAGCCCGCTTATTTTAAAAAATCATCAAAATGAGAACTATTTACTTTGCAGTAAGTATATTTAAAATATTTTTTATTTTTCTTATTCAATTATTTTAGAATAATAAAATATACGGAAGCCTAAAATATATTTTATTATATAAAATGTATATTAAGTGCAATTAACAATAAGGCAATCGTTTATTTAAATATATTAATGTGATTTAATACAAAGTTTATTTGCTCCAAAATGAATTGTTTTAATAGGGTTGTTTATTTAAAATATATTATATATTATTTAATTTAATTAATTATTTAATTAAAGTTGTGGTAAGAAAACAGTTTAACTACAGGTACATTTATTTTCTAATAAATTATTAGAAAATAGTTTACGGAATTGTTTTCTATTGAAACTTTAAATTCCAAATAAAAATTAATTTTTGAAATACCAATTAAAATTCTTTTATTTTATAAATACGTAAGGGAAATTTTCATTCAAAATTTTTTTTGTCCGAATTATTTTTTTCCAAATCTATATATGAAAAATAAGAAAATACGCATTTTTTTATTTGATGAAAATGAAGGAAGTTATGATTTTTTGAAATTTAACGTCAACAAAAGAAGTGTGTTTTTGGAACATTTTTATAAAACTGAAGTTACCAACGTTGATTCAACGAAAAAAATAAAAGTTAAGGATTCTAATTCCCATCAAAGAAATTTATTTATTTTCAACCCTCCATAAACTATTCTCTAATAATTTATTAGAAAATAAATATACATACCTGTAGTTAAACTGTTTTCTTACAATAAATTTGGTTTAAACAAAAAATTGTTTTTTTATCCTAACTTTAATTAAATAATATATAATATATTTTAAATTAACAACCCTATCAAAACAATTCATTTTGGAGCAAATAAACTTTGTATTAAATAACATTAATATATTTAAATAAACGATTGCCTTATTTTTAATTGCACTTAATATACATTTTATATTATAATAAAATATATTTTATTATTCTAGAATAAATAAATAAGAAAAATAAAAAATATTTTAAATATACTTACTGCAAACTAAATAGTTCTCATTTTGGTGATTTTTTAAAATAAGCGGGCTAAATAGCCAAAATCTTGCATTTTTAAAAAAAAAGTTTAGTTTTGATACTAATTCTGTAAATAATATTACAAAATCGTTTTTCAGTTTTTTAATCTGCAAAATTGGGGAAATCAACTTAATCGGAGATTATTATAATAATAATATATATAGTTGGGTGAAATCGGCTCTAAATTTAAAAAAAAATAAACCAACTTTACTGAATTATTAAAAAATTATTATTATTATTATTATTATTATTATTATTATTATTATTATTATTGAATGAATATTATTAAAATTAATATTCTTAAAATGATAATTTTGACAATAATTGAAATGTGCTTTTTCACACATTTTTAAGAATTTTAACCCCCCCTCCCCTCCCTCAAAAATATAGACAAAGTAATATATAAAATAAGAAAAAATTAAATAAAAACCATTTTTTGCATTTTATTGATTTCTTCAAAAAAATTTTTTTTTAAAACCACTTACGCTAGATAATGCGGAACCCGTCTTGAATTCTTACGCGGGAAATCGCAAAAACAAAATGAGGCAAAGCCACTTTTTTTCTCGTGTTTTTTTAATATATGTCACGAAAATTTTACACAAATTTAACTTGAAAAAAATTGTTCCCATAAAATTTTACGTCTCGTCACTGAACAATGATGATGATGATGATAATGATGATGATGATGACTTCTCAAGTAATAAATATTTAAAATATGTCTGCGGCTCTTTGCGACCTCTTTTTGTGTTACAAGTCTAAAGTTCATGAAATATATTTAAGCATTAACTCAAGGAGAGTTAGAAAATATTATGCTCTTTTTTTCACAATTTCAACATATCCTTTTTGCTAAGTGAATTTTTAAAAATTCTAAAATTGTCCGCAAAATGTATTGTAAATTTTTGTTGATAATTTTATTGTGAATTGTTTTTCTTTTGAATTTTTTTTTTTTTTTTAATTCTCTTCTTTTGTTTCTCATTAATTTTTTTTTTGCACAATTACATTATTTGCATTATTAATATATTTATTGTTACGAAATCACACGCGATAATGAAGAGTTCAATAAACTAGATTCAGTTTATTAGAATTTAAACTATTATTTAAATTTCTAAAATATGAGTTGCAAATTATTTGTATATATTTATGTGTTTTATTTTATTGTTTTGTCATTTATCAATGGTCGCTTATTACCATTATCTTATCGTTGATTTTAACTTTACCGGTTTAATTATACGCGTTTTCTTTATCAGTCAGTTTTCGTTTCTTTTTTTAAAAAACTTTAAAATACTTTAATATGTTAATATGTATACACTCGAAACAACATTCAAAACTGTAACAGAAAATTAATGCTCTAAATTGAGGTTTTCTTTTAAAAAAATTTGTTTTTTTTATACGTTTTATTTTCTATTTACCATTTTATTATTTTTTCTATTTTTAATTTTTATTCTGTTTATTTAATAATATTCTTTTTTATTATTTTTTTCTATTTTTTGTTTATTTTATATTCAGAAGAAAGATTGTTTGAAATTTTTTTTTAAGTTAAACCTTCAAAAAAAAAAAAATAATAATAAAAAAAAACTTTGGTTCAATTATTATTAAATCGAAATATTGTTCTTATTTTCACATTATATCAGAAATTTCGTTAATCAAATATTCTATTTTTTAAAAAAAAACTTTCAAAGTGAAAGTTTTCAACAGGAACATAAAATTACTCACTATTTACAAAAGTTTGTTTAAATCTTAATATTAAATATTTGTCATTGTTTTTATGTTTATTTAAAAAAACAAATTGTTTTTAATATTTAATTAGGCTTAAAGATAATATTAAAAAAAAAATAATGTATAGTATAAATTTTACATAAAAATTCTATACACAAACTTATTTGTTATTGATTAAACAATTTTTTTTTTTTTTAGAGCTTAATCAAAAGCTGTTTATCGCATAAAACCGCACGAGTTCCAGTTACAACACAGTACAATAACAAATTGTTACACTTCACTTTCACGAATTCCTATCACTTTTGACAAAATAATATAGAGAGAATGAATGGATATAAAGGCGTTAAATTATATTATAATTTATAATCAATAATTTTTCATGGATTAGAAACATTTTTTCAAAATTATAATTATATAATTAACATAGTAACAATTAATAATTAATAATTATTATTTGATTTTTTACTTTTATTATTATTATTGATATAAATAAATAAATGTTTTATTAATATCGATTTAAAAAAAATTATCCAAAAAATTTGACAATATTATTTATTTATAATTTTCAAAAAATGTTTTAAAATTAAAAAAAAAAAATTTTTTTAAACTGCGGAAATTTGTTTTTTGAGTCAAAAAAATTATTATCTAAGCTGCATAATGAGCACCAACATTTAGTCTCGAGGAAGACACTTCCCGGTGATACGCGTTGTCGTGGACTGACCGATGGAAACTCGATTTGACGATCTCATCGCAGGTGAAATTCATTCGCCATTACCTCCACCTCTTCATCTTTTTTTTCTTTGCCCCTCTTTCTTATTTTGTAGGTCCCGTTAACGAATAATTGTCAAGGGTCCAAATGTTTTATATATATACATACATACATATACTGAATATTATATGTATTTTTTCATTTTTACCTCAGGTAATTTTTTTTACACTTTTTGTTTGCTCGCATTTTTACCTTCCTTTCTCCCTTTCTCCAATTTCAGCTGATCGTTTTAAACCAATGACCGAATTTTTTTTTCACTTATAAGCCAATCCTGTATTTTGGATTTACTATAT